ATAATAAAAATTTCTATTAAATTAATAATGTGTTGGACATAATTTAGTCCATAATGAATGGTTATCTTTGAACTGTTACGAGGAATGATGAATCAATATCCTTTAAAAGCATATTCTGTCAACATTAAAAATAATGTAATTATTTACTGTCTTTTTTTCGTATTTTATTGTAAAATTCTAAAAAGTATTTATATAATTAACATTTTCAAATTCATAAAAATATATTTTTATAAATTAAAATAATTAACTCAGATTTTTTCTTTCATATTTGATTTTATCCACAGATTGTATCTAATTTTCTTTTTTTTGTTTTAATTGAATGAATTTCCAAAATGCTGGAGTAAATTTTCTTTTACTTTTCATTTTAATACTAAATCAGTATGTTCAATTTAGTGTTCGCGCTGTTAAAGGATATATATTTAAAAACCTAAATCCATACTAAAGAAGGATACATATAATTTGCTCCAACTTTATATCAGTGACTTGATGTTGCACATGATGTTGCTTGTATTGCTTAAGCTGAGAGTTATAAATCTTAAAATACCTTGTTTATTTCTTTTAATTCTTTTTGGTAAGTTTATATCACTCAAAAAACAAGACATAAGAATGTAATAATAAAATCTGTTTATTCTTATGTATGCAACTTTATATTAATTTGGTACTCGGAAGCCTTTTGAGCAAGATATCAAAATGTAACAAAGCCTCTAAATTTTCTTTAAAGTTTAAACGTAACGACATTTCTTCATCATTGCAGAAATAAAGATGTACTATTGTATAAAATCATCTACCTATACCGTTTTTCAATGAAATGCTTAAGTTTTACTACCCAGACGAACAATCTCTTTTAACTATCTTTTAAATTAATAAAACTCCTGCTTAATAAGACACCAATAATAAAAGTAACAAATTATTAAAAAAAATATTACCTCTAAAAGTTAAAGCTTTGAAAAGGACGTTAGCATGAAAAAATTATGTTAAAGGAATAAATTCCATTTTATTTCTGATAACATCGCAACTTTTCCTGTTTTCCCTAAAATGGGTAATATATAAATTGTTTTAAGCCTATTTATGAATTTCAAACTACTATTAATCTGCGTTTCTAAGAAATAAGATCTTGGAATTGTGCTTACAACCATAACGTACTTTAGTTTCTAGAAAAAAATACTACCTTTAACAATTATAGGGCGGAAAGTTTTCTTACCCTAGAAGGTTCTTACAACTTACAGAGCAATGCTTTGTTCTTATAAATTATATTATTACAATTAAGATGTATTAATCATTCATTCTTAGAACTAATATAATAAGATTTAATGCCTACAGCGAACTTAATAAGGTTTTAATATACAAGAATATTTCTGACTAAGAGTTCACTTCCTTCCTTATAACATCTTTACAACATTATACCGCGAATATTTGAGGAAAAGACGCTTATTTTGCATCCATGTAGTAAATATTTTTTTTCATGTCTAAGTTTATTACAGTGGATCCACTTAAGGATAACTGTTCTAGAAATTTCAGAGTAAAATGCTAGCCATATAGACGGACATTTAATTAAAATCGAAATTTCAGAGGAAAATGTTAAATACTATTTATTTAGGACATTTAATTCAAATCGATTAAGTAGTTATACTCTAAAGTATCAACAGATATCAACACGCTTATTTTTTTAATTTTCATAAGACATAGAGAAAGTAACCAATGATTTTTAATAATACTATCCTAAGAATTAATATCAAGTGAGGCAGTAAGATTTAAACGAAAAAATAATAACCAACTATAAGATATCTCCTACATATCAATCATTTGACGTCATTAACAAATTTCTTTTAAGTCATGTAGACAACTTTGGTGTGATTCTAATGTTCTACTAACGACTGCGTGAACAATCAATCAACCCCACAAATATATATATTTAAGTGTGTGTGTGTGTGTGTGTATGTGTGTGCGTGTGTGTATGTGTGTGTGTGTGTGTATGTGTGTGTGTGTGTGTATACCCATGGGTTTTTACTTCAGTAATCTAGACATATAACTGAATATTTTATGTTAAGTCTAGAAACGTGTTATTAAAAATGGATTTGTATAAGTGCATTTATCACTATATTTACAGACAATGACAGTGTTTTTTTTATGTCGAACATCACGAGTGACGAGCCTCAGTACGATAGTGTACACGAAAATATAAATGTTTATAAATATATTATAAGTGTAATTTACACATAATGTATGGAAAACGTGAAATAGCTGCACGTATTTCTTTGTTGCCACACGTTATTAACATTCGAGACGGACTAAATTGTTATCAATGGCAAATACGATTCCGTCAAAATACATATATTTGTTTTTCTAACGTAATACCATCTAACAAGACGAATTCCTTTGTATTTTACGCAATTTTTAATATATACATATAACCAATTTCTTTGATCTTACTTTACTTAGTTTATAATCACGACCTTAGTCTCACCCCTCGTTAAACACCACTGAATTTTAAATTTCCAGATAATCTAAATTTGATATAAAAATCACGTTCCATGTATTTTTTTATCGCACTTACTTATAATTATAGTATAAACAATTAATCGACCTTTAATATATACTTGACACAGTGACATTCGGAATAAACAATAACATTTAGACTTTCGAAATATTCAATAAATTTTCCCTTTCCACGAAATCGAATTGAGGAAAAAAACGCATATAAATGTTGTTGCATGCATTAATAGCTTGGAAAGGTATAATTATGCTGATAAGTCACCAGCCGGGTCAGGGTGAGACCTTGGCTTGTATAGGCTGATGCCCTCAAACGTGGACCAAGACCAACATCTGGTGCATTTACCATATTCAGTAAACCCATTTAATAATAAGACAAAAAACGGGACGAAATATTGCGTTTCACCTTGACTTCATTGGCCATAACTTCAGACTACATAGGTTCAAAATGTGTTTGATAAACATTTTTTCATATTAAATATACAGGGTGACTGGTGAATTACTATCGATACTTGAGGACGTGATATTTGACGATCATATATGACAAAATAAAAATTAATATAACATAAATATTAATAAACTTCTAAGTAAAGTTAACCAAAAGTTGTGTAATTAATTACGCATCGTGTGAACACCCTACAGATTAGGTATACACACACACTCACACATACGCGTGCGGCGGCGTGGTGTTGTATCAGCACGCCGCCGCACGCATCCACACTTGGAAGACTTGGAACGTATCAACACTTTATTTATTTATATGGAAATTTGGTCAAAAATTAAGTGCCTATTTTTTTTACATAATTCGAATGAGAATCATGTACCGAGTATTCTCCTTAAATATTGATAGTAATTCACCAGTCACCCTGTATATATACATATAAGATGTATATCAGATCTATCAATAATAAACCTTGAACCACGCCTAATGACTGTGACACCTTAAAATGGGTATTCGACACCATAATGGTTTTCACCTATGTCATTACCATCAATGATAAATAGAAATGTATCAACTCGATTCTATCAAAGAGCTTTCCAATTAACATAATTTACGTCCGGTCGCATTCCCACAAACATTCACATTTATTCCACAATTCCGGGAGTCCTTTGTGTGATATACGAGTACAAAAAATATTACCCAACAAACGCTTTCCGTGAAAAAATGTCAGTTAACGAAGAACTTATCGGATTTAACGAGGCAGCGACCCGCATCACAAAATACTGTATATTCAAATGACATTATAATTATAGGTTTCAAGTAAAATAACACGCTAACAAACCTCAGTCATCCGGAATATTAAAAAATATTAGTTGTAGCACTCAAAGTTTTACGAATTAATTATTTATATCGCGGCTTTTTGTTACTAATGTCACAAAAATATATTTTATTAGTCTTGTACAGTATTATTACCTGTGCTAGACAAAATAACTTAGGTTTCAACAAACTTCCATTAAAAATGCAATATTTTACCCAAAGTTCTGCTTTTCACTGAATACGGAACGCTAATAGTTTATTTTGTAAATCTTCGCACATTAAATAATTAATCTGAACTTAGGCTCGAGAATGAAATGTAAAGCTAAGACTTTCGCGAGTATTATTTTAAATAAAACTAATATTTTCTTATTACTATTTGAATATTCGCTTCTCGATTCAGGTTTACCTATGATTACGGTTTCGCAAAGTAACCGAAACGTCGGGAATCGTGATAATGTAGTTTATAAAAATAATCAAATGCGCGTAGTAATGCGAATATATTAGTTTCATTTATTTAAGATGAAGATCTATCTACGTAGTAAATATACTACTTATAATAATAATGCACACTACAGTTAAACATACTCTCTATTTCAAGTTGATAATACATTAGTAGAATAAAGAATAAAAGCAATAATAACCGAATATTTCAGCCATATTTTCTGAGTTTTACATACATATGAGACATATATACATAGGATTTATATAGAAAATATACATATAGAAGACATATACCTAAATATAAAGAAACAAATTAAAATAACCAACAATTTACGTAAACATTTCTGGGAATACGAAGAGATTCCTACATTTTGATCCAATTAAGATGTGCTTGAAATCTGGTTCTCGAGTTATATTTCACGAGATTAAATTTATTATTTGTTCAGTCACTTTGACCGTACTTCCTTGACTGAAGACAATGTTTGTTTAAAATTTTATTATGTATTACTACTGAAAATATTAACATATGAAAAATATTCCATTAATGTTGTCATATTCTGGTTAGAATAACTTATACAAGAGCTATATTTATTTTATATATCTTTCAAATAAATACTACCTTAGTACAAGCTAGTTGGACATACTAAATACCAACAGTTATAACGTTAAAGACTCAAAATAAGTACAAAAATTGTAGTATTATATGAATGAAAAACCATAAAGCTATCTTAAATATAAATATTATATTTACTGTGTTACAATTCTCGTACATTCGATATAACATTATGACGTCATCAATATTTGCAGAGCCATGGGTGAGCTCGGTAACAAACTAGGTCTGGATGAGCTCTCTGGGGGTGCAGCAGGAATCAGCAAGGCTCTACTCGCTGAGTTCATCGGTAATTATAATAATAAATATACCAACTACCTCCTCTATCTACATACCAACAATGTTGAAACCAATCAAACAATTATATAATAAAAATTGTTAGCAATCATTTAGTATTTCCCAAGAAACATATCTTCTAGAATCTAGATTGTTTCTTTATTAAAATTGTTGCGATGTAAGTACCTACTTAAATAACAGAATTTTACATACTCATTTCTGTAACAAAAGTTTCGTATGAATTAATAGAAAGAGGAATAATAATTATTAAATAAGCATTTTGAACGATCTTTATTCCTCAGAAGATTATTTATAACATTTGTTCAATTAATTTTTTAATGAGTAATGTCTTTCTTAATATCCAGGTAACTTATTGCTGAACTTATTCGGATGCGGCGCTTGTATTAACATAGCTCAGGGCTCGGAAGGAGTTCCTGACATCGTACTTATAGCCCTTGCATTCGGATTAGCGGTCTTCGCCATTGTTTCCGTAAGTAAAAGTAAACAGTAGAATTTCCGTAACTAAAAGTAAACTTAGTAGAATTTCCGTAATTAAAAGCAAACTTTGCTTAAGTTCCAAATATTTTTTTAACAATAATTCATAACGTAATACCTTACTGCATTGTTTTAACTAAAGTGATTTGATATCAGGTGAATTTACGACAATATTAAATAGCTGCTATAAAAAAATTCTGCAAACAATTTATCTACATTTAATCTTTACACCTTTTATCTATGTCCTTAAATCCTTTGTGGTTAATAATCTTGTCATGTTAACCGAAAACTTTCGCTATCTGTTAACTTTGACGGTTTAATATATGTATGTTTAATCTATATTAACAAGTAGATTATAAAAACATTGTATGTTAAAATATTCTATTAAAAATCTCAATAGGTTCTTTCCTAATAAATATATTTTATTTATGTTAAAACAATTACCGAATTATTACTTGAAGATTTCGTCATAATAACATATCTATCAAAGTGCTTGACAAATTTTGATTGAATTCATCTTCAGGCGATAGGTCATGTGTCTGGGGGACACGTGAACCCCGCTGTCACAGTAGGCATGGCTGCCACAGGACGTGTTAAACCCGTACGAGCTGTGCTATACATAATAGCTCAATGCGCTGGCGCGGCCGCGGGGTCGGGGTTACTCAAAGCCTTCACCCCAGAAGCTGTCGCCGGCAAATTGGGGGTCACAGCCCTTGGGAAGAACGTCACCCCACTACAAGGATTCGGCATTGAATTCTTCCTAGGTTTCGTCCTCGTCTTCGTTGTATTTGGGGTGAGTAAGCAATTTATCAATTTGTGTGAAAACCATATTAATAATGAAAAAATTATCTATATATTATGATCGTTAGTGATATTTATAGTGTTAAAGATAAATGTTCCTGATAATAAAACATCAATTAATGTGTCACAAAAGAAAAGTTTGAGCGGTGACGTCACTATTTTAATTATATTCTCCATAAAAAATTCAGTACAAAGATAAAATTAGTCTAAAATATTGTTATATAATACGGCCGGTTCGTTCAGTTTTTGTTTCGACCACAAGACACTGCTTCAATTTCGTGTTCTCGGAAATGATTCTCGTTTTTTGTGGACATTTAGATGGTGCGATGTTTTTCCCGTACTCGTTACTTATATAATAAAGTCACAAGAGTTATTCAACTGCATTTATTTTGATATTGAAGTGACAAAACCTGTTTTAAATATCGCTTATACTATTTAAATGTTACAGTTTTGAGTATGTATGTATGTTTGTAACACAATAACTACCGATAAACGGTGCAGGGCTATAATTTGTACATCAGAATAAATTAGTTAAAAATAGTATATAAAATAGGTGTAATACTCGCGGGAACACGTAATAGTTAGGTTTTACAAATAATAAACATTATGCATTGTACATTAGTCTTTGTATGCTATCTGAAAGTCCAAAAGAAGTCGCGAGAATTAACTAAACTTTAAAAATCAATGTCTATTCTAATATATCGAATTTCTCTATAATCCATATGTTCTAGTATTTCAGACTCAATTTTTTATATTATAAATTATATCTAATATAATATTAAAGCGACCATCAATTGTTAAACTAACGACATTCATCTGAAACAAAGTATGTTTCGTGACAATAATCATTAAATAGGTTTTATCTTTAATAATCTTGTCTATTGAAGTTATTTTAAATATATATTTAAAAATATTTATAAGTAGAAATTATTTGTTCACATTTTTACTAAACAAAAATATAAAATATGCTTTCTTTTATATTAATGATTTATGTCTTAAAGACAAATAAAATAAGCAGTATATTTCAATATTTCGACTCGACTGTAAAGCATGTACTATGTGTAATTCTGATTTTGTTACCGAAATAATATTTAACTCAAAATATATGTAATGTAGCCGACAGCTTGTTTGTGCACTTAAAATAAATATTTAGGTTTTCGAGTTAAGCTTAGCTATAATATAATGTTTTAAACATTGAAGTAATTTTGAGAGAGTATTTAAATAAGAACGATTGTTATTATAGTTCATTGGGTATAGCAACTGGAATTAAATATTCCGGAGGTTTTATCCCAATTTAAATGTAGGTTATTTCATTTATTGCTCTAGTAACCCAAGAAACGACTAGTCGCATAAGTGACACTCACTTTTTAATTATAATAAAAATATATGATAAGGCGTATTCATCAAAGGGTAGAAATTGTTACAGCCTTTCCCTATAAAACCTTCACCTCTTTTCTGTCGAAAAAAAAATTTAAAAAAAATTAAATAGTCAAACCATATAGAAGGATTGGGTCTCACATCATGAATATAATATTATTGATTATAATCAATACACCGAAACATAAAGACACACTGATAACGGGACCCATTTTGATATTAATGATAAGATATTGATAAACAATAGATTCATCAAAATTATTTTTGTTAGGTACATCTATTATGCATGTCGTTCTTATCGAAATTCGTATCAAAACGACTTGATTTGAACCTGTTTACTCAGGCAACATAAACAAAAACATTCAAGAAGTTTTTATATGCGTTATGTATATATCATATGCGACCACAGTTAATGTAACGGTGAAAAATATATAATGCTTAATTCACTGACTGACACTGAAATACGATATTGTTACAGAAAGTTCGAAATTCAATATTTACGAGTACTTAATATAGTGCATGCATCTTTATACAGGTATGCGATCCTAACAAATCGGACAGTAAGTCGACGGCGCCACTTGCCATCGGTCTGACAGTAACCCTGGGTCACTTGCTGGCCGTGGACTACACCGGCTCAGCCATGAACCCAGCACGTTCCTTCGGATCAGCACTGGTTGCCAGCGACTGGGCCGATCACTGGGTAAGTATAACATAATATAACCAATATGACTATCTAACTATTTATCCCTTTAACGGTCATAAGGAGTGGACAGTGGAAAAGCAAAATTGATGATGGTTAAGAGTATATAATAGAAGTAAAAACATATGTTTATATAAATATATATCTTTCAAACCTTTCATTGTCAAACTGTCTATTGACAATCATAAAAGTTTTCTGAATAAAATAATACGACGAAATGGACGAAATTTCGGTAATTAAAAAAAAAACATGGTGGTGAAAATATCGCCTCTAATTTATAAAGGGTTAAATACATGTATTGTTACTAAAAAACTTACAACCTAAATCAGTACTCCTAAATCATCCCTCATGTATACTGTTCACAATTAATCGAAAGCTAGGACGAAAAATATGTTAACAGTAAGAATAAGAATATCTTTAATTTAAACATTATCTTCAAGATACTTGTAGTCTTGTTTCCATCAGCATATGCAACGGATAATCCTGGCATTCCAGTATAATCGTGCCTAATGCAGTCATAGTTGTAAACTAGATTGGAATTATACATGAGGTCATCAACAATTACAGCAAATACGACCACTGATAAATATGTATTAGTATTATATATAGCTAGCCTAGATCACTATATATAACAGATGTTTTCATTCCTATAATAGTCTGATTGATGTTTACAAAAATATATTATTTATATTAATCACTTAATAAATCATACGATAATTTGTATAGTTGTCAAAATCGAATAATGACTTTGACATTATAAAAGGCAAATAAAAAATATTAATTTTTAATGACAGTAGGTACATATTCGTTCGCATATATTTATTTACATTTTTTTAATACAATCACACGTATATTCTTCTTGACTATATAACTTATCCCAAAAACGTTTAAACCTTGATTAGAAAGATAAACAATTAGCATACATAACTAAGTATAATATATTATTTACTTAATTAAACAGGAATACTGAAAAAAAGACAAAATTATTATTAAAATATTTTATGTATTTTCTGATCAAACATTGATTACTAAGTTCATTTTTAATTCGTGTCTCAAATATAAAAGTATGAAAAAATTAATAAGCCTAAATGGGCTTAAAAAATGTGTTCTAAAAAGTAAAAATAAATTTACAAGAAAAGCGAAAACACATATTAGCATGGAATTTAAGATAACTATATCACGGTCCTTGATAAAGTAGAACTATCAAGATTATCAATTGAACTAACAACTTATAACGTGTAGAGATTGTTGATCAAACACTTGAGACGAATTAACTTGGTTCAGACTTCAGATATGTACATATAAGTATATTTAATTAGTCTCTTAATCAATATAATTTATATATTTATTAATAGTCGTCTTTATGTATAAAAAGTTTCGATACTATCATTAATAAATATTGACAATTAGTAATACATTAACAATATAGAAATTGCTTTCAGTCGATAATTCGTAAGTGAATCATTTTCTAGCCCGCACTTAAATAAAAAATTAAACATGACTCGTAAAATATTTATAGATTAAAAATTTATAACGAGTTCATTATCTATTAGTAAATGTTTAGTTTGATGCATAGTTTTTTTTTTTGCAATTAAAATCTTAGATAAGGATCAACTAAAACAGCATTTTTAATCTGTTACATAAATTAAATGTTTTGTTTTCATATGATATGATATCACATATTTGGTCTTGTAAAATATCAGAAGATTTAGTTTTTATTTTCTCTATATTGATTGAAGAATGCGTTTTTTTGCCATCAGTGGTCATATCTGTTTGATATTTATCAACTCATTTCCTATAGACGAATATTATTTACTAATTGAATGTAACATGAATAATCATTTTTTATGATTTGGTACTTTAATATTATGTTTAAATAAAGTCGGGTTTGGTCTCGTCTGTGAGTACTATATAAGAAAATTATTATCATAATGATCCATGACTGATCAATAAGATGAAACTTAACTGAAAAAGACTAATATTTGGAAAAGTAAACAGTGTTACCATATGATTAAATTAACTCATTTTCTTTTTATTTTTTTGTAAATGTCATTTCGGCTCTGGATACAGGTTCTTTTGAGCCCAAAAATATAAAAAGTATTAAATATAGCTATTGCTAATATTGTGTTATATATAGGTGTACTGGGCGGGTCCTATATGCGGTGGCGTCGCTGCCTCCTTGTTATACTCACACGGACTAGCCGCGCCGCCCGAAGCTGCTCCTCCACGATACAGACCAGTGGCCGGAGATGAGAAAGAGGTAACATAACAATACCACAAATATATACGATAAATAATATAAATATTTCTTTGTTTTTTAATACTATATACAGGGTGACTGGTGAATTACTATCAATATTTAAGGAGAATACTCGGTACATGATTCTCATTCGAATTATATAAAAAAAATAGGCACTTAATTTTTGACCAAATTTCCGTATAAATAAATAAAGTGTTGACACGTTCCAAGTGTTCCAAGTGTGGACGCGTGCGGCGGCGTGCTTATACAACACCACGCCGCAACACGCGTATGTGTGAGCGTATACCTAATCTGTAGGGTGTTCACACGATGCGTAATTAATTACATAACTTTTGGTTAACTTTACTTAGAAGTTTATTAATATTTGTGTGATATTAATTTTTATTTTGTCATATATGATCGTCAAATATCACGTCCTCAAATATCGATAGTAATACACCAGTCACCCTGTATACTTTTCGTGATAAGTGTTATAAATAAATATGATGCAAGTATGAAAGACAAAGTTATCTTTTAACATTATCTGTAAATAACAATAAAAAATCAATCAGATATTTTATATTACTCAGATACTATATCTGTTTTGCATTTTATTATATATAATAATATCTTACAAGCGGTCTGGACGCCAAGCGCCAACAGCATGGACGGTCGAACAAAGTGTAAGAAAAAAATAATTAATCAATATCAAACATAGTTTATGGAATTTAAATGAAACTAATATTTTTCGGATATACTACGCGACTTTTTTTGATAAAAACTACATACTCCTGACATTTCGGCTACTTTACAGCAACCGTGATCACGGGCAGATTAGATGTAGTTCTTATAAAGTCACGTAGTAATTCGTATATCCGAAAAATATTCATTTCATTTAAATGAATAAGACTCACTAAAATATTAGATGTCATTATAGTTCCGAGAGTATTTAGACATCACTGACAGACGGTGAAGGAAAACATTGTGAGGAAATCTAGACTTATAGTTTCATAATTATAACTTTGAAATCACCAACCCGTCTTGAGCAAGCGTGGTGATTAATTCTCAAACCTTCTCCATGTGAGACAGAGGCCTTGCTCAGCAGTGGGCGTCTGATAGACTGATGATGATGACGATAATGGTGATGATGATGTCATTATACTTGATGGAAATTAATATATATTTTAATATATTTCCAGCTCAAACGCCTGGATGGCAAGGCGGAAGATATGGCCTGAAGAAGAAATCGCCCGCGCTCACCGCTATCCGTCCCTAGCGATGTACACACACGCGGGCACACTCACACGAACAGAACGTACTACCAGCGACATCTATGATGTGACATCGACAACAAACGTCCAATAGATTATAGTCAGACTGGAATATATAATAAGTAATTTCTTCTTCTCATACTGTCCATACGATATGAGTATTTGTAAATGTTATAATCTCTGCCTCGATAATGTGTGCGATATATTTAAAAAGTTTAAATATTTATATGTTAAAATATATTTTATTAATCTAGGGCTTTTATGATTAAAAATCGTTTTATAAATAAATAAAATCAAGTACTTTTAAAGATTTAATAGAAATTAATATTTTATTCAACAGCCAAATTCATATCCGTACTGCCACTAAAACTTAAAACATTATAAATTACGTGAACAAAAAAAAATCTCGTTGAAAGTATATTTTTAAGTAATTAATTATATATATTTTTATATAACCATTAATATATTTTGTGGTACTTTAAAACTGTAAGTTGTATGAATGAGTTTAGATTTTGATTATTTTAAATGTCACATAACTTTTTCACCACCGATATTCAATGTTCTGTCATGAATTACATTAAACTACAATACTCTATGCACCACATGAAAATATATGAAAATGTTGAATGAATGTGTTTAATGTCCTAGATTGAGTTAAATAAATAAATATATTTTATTCACGGCTTGTTTTTATTATGAACCGATGAGTGTTACCAGTTTATAAAACTTACAATTACTATAAAAAGTATTATATATAAGTCCATAATATTTGTATGGTTTATCTAGTCTAGACTAATGGATTTATTTCCTAAATTGCTGATAAAGCAACTCTTAAACTTATCTCTTTGCTATTAATGACTTTATTTTTAATATATTCCATACCAATTATATCAACAATTAAGGCTTATGAAATAAAAAATTATAATAATGATGATATTATGTATTGTAAAATAAAAAATATAAAATCATTGTTTACATAGCATTGATTTTTTGAATAGACATGAAATAATTTTTGAGTAAGTAATGATATTTACAATTTATTCTTAAATCATAACAATTCTACTTCAGATACAACTTGACGGTTATTCAGTCTTATATTTTTTCTATTACAAAAAATAAAAAAATATATGCAGATAAACCGAAATAAATAAAATTACAATGTATTTAAAATCTATTTATATCTTTGAATGATTCTTAATGATAATATATTACATAAAAAAATAAATATTTAAATTGTAAAATAAGACTATAGACTTTGAATAGAGAAATAATAATACAAGACTTCATTTAAATTAAATCATTTTTGAAATTGTTTGTACAAAAGATATCTCTCAAATTATTTGTCAATATGATAGAAAAAATCTTACTCAGAGTAAAACATTGTGAAACTATTTTAAAATAAATGAATTAACTAGAAAGTGTCTTTAAGTCCTTACAGAAATTATAATAATCATTACTATGGCATGGAAAATGCATTTTAACATTATTAAATAATATTATAAATTATCTAGAACATGAACACAACACTTCCTACATACAGTATTTAATTATTTCATATATAAATTACATTGACTATAATTCTCAACAGATCCTTTTTAAATTTATTAATATATATTTAGTTGTTCTTTTTGAGATATAAAACTGGGTTTATAATAAACAAAATAAAATGAAAAAGACTGATGCTAGAGTAAGCTAACTTTTTTTCTATAAATAAGACACTGGTATGTATGACTATGTATGTAAAACAGTTTTTTTTTGTGCCACAAACAAACACTCTTGACTTCCTGACAAAGTTATAATATTTTTTTAAACAGAACCAGCACATTTCGGATTAAATTAAGTTTATACATCTCATTCTAATTACACTTAAAAATAAAATAATTCATGCATGATTTCATATAAAAAAATAAAATATGATATCAAAATTAGATTATCAAAATTTCTGAACGCACTGTAATAAAAGTCTATTGGCATAAAAATGTACTTAATTACAACCATTTAAATATTAATCTATATACTATTTAAATGAATTTAAAGCATTTCTGCTTGTCGTGTGATATCCTTGTCTTGAATAGTACTGAATCAGCTCTATACTGTGTGGATAAAAGTGGAGTATAACCAAACACTTGGGAGAAGAATTGTATACATTTATGTCGCTCGTGGAAATGTGTCTCATCAGCTGATAGCGTCACAGGGCAGCCAGGACAACGGAACGTCCAACGAGATGTCACCTGGAAATAGAAAAATATATAAAAACTTTTTGATTAAATTATTCATTCACACATTGGCAAAATAAATATGACTTTCAGCAGTTTATACGAGCAGCTTGTACGAAAAAAAGAAATTCTAGGCCGAACTACACCATTTATTTAAAAGATAGAGTAGATAAGCATCTTCATTTGATTTAATGCTAGTATAACATAAAGGTGGTGTTCTAGGCATTGTGCCAATTAAGATACCGTGCCTTTAATGAACATAATTAACTGAGCAGCCTATACAGGGAGACTGGTGAATTACTATCGATACTTGAGGACGTGATATTTGACGATCATATATGACAAAATAAAAATTAATATAACATAAATATTAATAAACTTTTAAGTAAAGTTAACCAAAAGTTATGTAATTAATTACGCATCGTGTGAACACCCTACAGATTAGGTATACACACACACTCACACATACGCGTGCGCGGCGTGGTGTTGTTTCAGCACGCCGCCGCACGCGTCCACACTTAGAACACTTGGAACGTGTCAACACTTTATTTATTTATACGGAAATTTTGTCAAAAATTAAGTGCCTATTTTTTTACATAATTCGAATGAGAATCATATACCGAGTATGCTCCTTAAATATTGATAGTAATTCACCAGTCACCCTGTATATTTAATATGCTAAAATGAAAACATAATAGAAAGAGTAAGTTTTGTAATGCAAAAAAATTACAAATGAATTCGCAATATACATATATTTTACCAGAATATTAATAAATGAACTATTAAAAATGAGAACAAAATAAACGTATTAATAAGTATTTTGTAAATATAAATGAAGAAGCAATTTATAGAAGGATAAAATCTATCACCTAATCATAATCTCATGTATTTTATAATATATATTACAAATCTAAACAGATTTCGTCCAGATCTCTTTAAATCTCACCATAATTATTTATACACATGTGTCAGTAATCGCCCTGACTGACCCTTCCCACCTTTTCCCCCTATTCCCCAATCAAGGGTGGCAACACATTCTCAAATCTACATATGTTCCAGATGTCTATGGGCAACGGTATTACCTCAATTGGGTAGGCCGTCTGCTTGGTTGTTCCCTTTAAGATAAAAACTGTACCTTGACGGGTGGTTTCCTCGTGATGTGAGCCACTAAGAAGTTCATAGCGATATCTTCACAGTTCATGTACTGATCCACGTAGTCCCTCACAGCGGCGGGCAGCAGCCGCCAGTACGACCAGAGGTAGTAGCGGTGAACGAACGCTGCACCAGTCAACACCATACTCAGCTCACAACTACAATATACACACACACACACATATATATATATGTATAAGAGAATTGAGACTGAGGATGTAGGAAACCATTCAAATGACTGTGCATGATTTTTGGTCCTTAATGTGTCTGTGATTTAAAATTATGGTTTTTGTTAAAAAATAAATCTTTTATAATAACCGGTTTTTTTTTAGTTAGCATCTTGAATCTTGATAAAACAATTACCTTTTTATGTCAGCAAGACCAATTTTTCTTTTAGGTCTGAGCAAAAATTTTCAATTATATTACAGATTTATACTGAAATGTCAACATTTTTTCTCCATTCAGATGATGTCAGTATCTAGTTATCTTGCATATTGTTTTATAATCTGTTTGTTACCTGTAGTTGGAGTTGTAAAGGAATCCATTATTGAAGTTGAGATCCCACGCGTGGTATCTTCCGGGGAAACCGACTATACGGTCACGATGTTCACGCCACACTCTGTAGAGTTGAATACGTATAATAAATATACCAGTTATATATATAATTAGATTTTTATTCAGCATTCATTACGAAGTTATTTTCATAACAGTAATGAAATTTGTTCTTTCTCTAATACTAAATTCACTATGACTGGATCCTAGAGCTCAAAAATAACCCACTAAGTAAGCTTTCATACAGAATAAATATCTATTTTAAACCTCAATTTTTTATCAATAACAGTATTAGAATTTTAAGCATATGCATAAGAATGTGGCTTTTAGTAATAAAGTTGAGTTTATTTTCTTATGTAGTATATTACGCTCACCTAACATGAGTATTAATATGACTCTGTTCTTAGCAAGAACTAAAGAACAGGTTCTTTTGTCGTATGATTAATCGGACATTAAGAGAGCATATAACTAATTTTATCACATTAGCTGAAGTTAAGCCCGTTTCTGACATGGCAAATGCAACCTTCCCTAAATGCAATGCACATTGACTTCAGGTAAGGCAAAAATATTTCTTTTGTTCCACATTTTATAAGGTCTTACCTAAACGCGAAGACTATCTCATCGTGTCTCAAATGCGCGTCATCGTCTACACAGAGAACGGCCTCTGTGTCGATCACGTTGTATGGAAGGAAGCGGTTGTTGAGTGAGTTGCGAGGAGCGCGGACAACAGCCACCGGCGCGCCTGACTCCGGCCATGACTGGGACGAAAGTGGGGGGTTCACTCCGTTCCATACAACCACCACCTGGTTGATATAAAGAATTCAATTAGGATAGACATACGCAAACCATTTGTATGATCTAAATCCTACTAATATTATAATTGCAAAAATTTGTGAGTGTGTGTATGTTTGTTACTTCATCACGCTCAAACGGCCGAACCGATTTTGATAACATTTTGTATACAGGAAGCTGACGTCCAGGAATAACACATAGGCTACTTTACATCCCGGAAATCCCAAAAATCCGCGGGTAACACAGCGGGGCGCAGCTAGTAGTTCATATATCCTGGTGATAAAACAATGAATTCGGATCTAATTTATTTTTATGACATATTTCATATACGTATGGACCATGTCAACGTTATCAGTGGAAATGTACCTTATTCAAGTACGGTAGACCCCGAAGTCTCGCCAGCGCGGCAGCCAGAACAGCTTCCCTCTCATATGTCAAGATGACAATCGTGAACTGTTCCCTCGGTCGATCACCTCCTAGAGCTTCGCTGAACTCCTTCCCAGAGCCCCCCGCTCCTGCTCCGATCGGTCTAAAACCTGCTGCGGAACCCATGAACCGGGCTTCCGATGTCACCGGCGGATCCCAAGGCAATTGAGGAAACAGCGCGAACGGTTCTCCCCAGTCATTCCATAGTTCGTAGCCATTTAACAGAGACACCGAGTAATTACGTCTATAGGACGGACTTGGATAAGGAGCTTCTAAAGGCCCGAGGGTCTCTTCCGGCTCAGTGTCCACAGCCGGTGGTTCAATTTTCGGTGGATAGTAGGACTCATTGAACGCCGGCGCACCCATAGTCGGTGCCGCTGAATGAGGAGGAATGTTCAAACGAGTTCTTATAGTAGCGAGGAGCGAGTCCATACTAGCTTGAACAGAACTCAAATATCTCTCCCATAACAAACGTCCCTGTCTACGGAACGCTAATAAATCTGCATCTGATAGGGCTCTCAGCAGAAAATGTAGCTCAGTGACACGAGCTTTCGGGAGGGATAGTGTAGCCCTTCGCCAGTCCAAAACTTCGCTGTACGGCATCTGTATACGATCACCGCCAAGTATGACGGGTATAGCTCCGGAGCGTAGCGCTTCATACAGCCTCGCTTGCAGGAGTGCTGTTGAAGCATAATCTCTGTCAGCCGGTGCCAATATTAATACGAAAGTAGAATCTCTAAGCACGGCTCGTCTTGATCGATCAGTGCCGCAGAGTCCCCAGTCACCTATCGGTAGAACCGCACGCTTATCGATAGGAGGGTCGCAGTCGAATTGCAATAGAAACACATCAGATGAAGGAGCCTGACTAGCCATCTTCCTCAGAGACTCGATGAGAGATTGATCGTCATCTTTATGTGATCCTGTCGCTGGAGTCTGTGAACCCTGAAAACTGCACGTTGCTTATGAATGTATACAAAAAATATTAATTTATATAAAGCATTTTTAATATATCTACCACTTTCCGCAAACCACATCTGAATGTGACTATGTTGTTGATTTATTTTAAATATTTTATTATTATTCGACGTATCAAGTACCTTGCAAAAACCGTGATTACAGGTAATCGATATAAAAGTGTCTGTCATCAACCATCAAAGGTTACCAACTACTTGAAATACTACCCTAGTAGGACGTAGAATGGACTGCATCTTAAAGCTTATTGTCGTCACTATATTTTTTAAACATTTTTATTGCTTACCTAAGTATGTATAAACGTCTTGCCGGTGCCATGGGGGCGCAGTCTGACCATACATCTCCCCCAGGAGGTCCGAGGGCGGGAGGTGTCACCAGGTCAAACCCTGGCCGGAACTGGCGTAACGTAAACGTAGACTGCGCTATCATCGCTCTGCCAGTCGATGAATCCAGAAAAGCGTCTCCTGAACCAACTGATAGATCGCGCCGAGCCAGATTTAGCAACACATGGTTACGACCATCGCCGCCCCAATACGGCAAACTTTTAATTGCTGTCTCATTCAACAACAGCTTATTCGTTGAACTGAAATACATAGAAAAATATTTATTTAATTTATTAATTTTTTAATTTATTTATTATTAGGGAAACATACAGCATATCGTATATTACAACTTAATATAATAATCACATTTTGACACTTATGCCAGTTAAGTTTCCACTACTGTTTTTACGGGGAAGTGGACTAATTTTGATGTAACCTAAAATACAACTATTAATTAATTACTAATGAGTATTTTTTACAAGATTATAAAAATTATTCAGACATTTTTATTTTTTTAGTATCGAGAAATATGAATGATCTTCGAACTCACGTTTGAGTCTTATCAGATGGAAATCCCTCGCCGACCAGCACGAGATAGACGCATGCTTCGTTAGGGTTTTGAGTGAGATGTGAATTGTAGCTTAGCGTTTGTCGTAACGTGGTTTTGAGGAAACCATCAACCTCTGCCCCAATGAGAGGAGAAAATACATCTGGATCATAGAAGTACACCGGGAAACCGGAAGTTAGTGAACAGCGGGAGTGATCAAAGCATGAATGCATTCGACAGTGTACTTCGGATGTTGATGCAGCGGGTGGGATAATGGGGGGTGGGGATGAGGGTAGGATTGGAAGTGGTGGGGCGAGCTCAGGGGAATCCCGTCGTATAGCCTCCAACTGGGCCAACCGAGCCTGGTCTGCGGATACCCTTAATCTCTGTAATTCAGCTGTCGCGCGTGCATACTCAGCCTTAACACTGTCTGCATTAGCACTAGCGGCGGCGGCTTCTTTCTGCAGTTTCCCTCGCCGTTCTTCCAATTCACGCAACTCCGTGGATACTGAAGCCTTAAACAATGATAAATAAAATATAGTATATAACTCTGTCAATCATCAATAGGAATTTTATTAGCTGTAAGCTTGATTATTATTGTAAATCAGTTTGATCTCTGTAACAGTACAGTTTAAGTGATTAAGATACAAGGAAAATTAGTTACTGCCGTTGTAGATGCTTAATTTTTCTTTATTACAAATTAAAACCATAAATTAGGTTGACATGCCATCACTCTGGTTAGTATTAAAAGTATTGCAAAAAAAATTCAAAGTGATCATAAGTAATTTTAAAAGACTATAGAATATGCAGAGGAAAACTTTGAATCATTTATATGTACCAAAAAACACAGTTCACAAGAGATTGAATATCTAAATTCATAAGCAATATTTGCAGCAAGTACTATGCAATTATTCAAAATGTTTTTTATATATAATACCTTAATTCTAAGCATTTCTTCTATTCTTATTTTAAGATCTCCAACATTAACTGCTGATAAGTCTCCGAGTGTCTCTAGTGTGTGGCGCATGTTGTTAGAACCCAATGCCATCGATGATGATTCATACTATTAAAAGAATGTCTCATTGAGAACCAGTCAAATTTATTTATTTATTTCGGTAATCCAACAGTGCTTATAATAAAGACATAATAAAATATAACAATACTATGACCAATACAGGATTACACATTTTAAGTAAAAGTATATATTAACTAAAATAATATTATATATGATTAATGATTATAAATAAAACTGTTTATTTATGTTAATTAAATACAAAATTAAACGATTCTATCTATGCAGAGAAAGTTAGAGAACCGTCATAACGATTTATACAAAAAGGGAATCTCTTATAATGAGATGAATGATATATAAAATAAATCTTGATTGTATTATTTTTCATATTAATCACATGTATGTACTTTTCTTATAATATCTGAATTCATTAAATATAAGCTTGAAAAATTACATATCTTGTTTTTCATTAAACTAAGACGATGCGACAAAATAGGTTTTAGTTAAATGAAATTATGCCCTTTTATTATTATTTCTATAGGTAATAATTAATTATTTGATAAGTAATGAAAGGCTTTACTTGTAAACACTCCGTAATTGTAATTAAACCGAATAATAAGTTAATGAAATTCTTTCTTACCTTAGACAAATAATAATGTGTAAAAAGCGGCACAACAAACAAAATCACTGTGACCATTAAAATTACTCGGGACAGTTTTAAATGCCCGAGCCATTGGCAAATTCGTTCGTGTATAAGGATCATTGTTAATTTAACAATAGCTACACTGCCGCTTTAAACTGAAGCATAATATTGAAATTTATGGTTTCTTCATTACGCATAATTTAAATAAAAATGTTTTGGAAAAACATTTGAAATTATGCTGCTCTCATGCGATACACAACTAGAACTATAAATGTCAATGTCAAAGTCAGATTTCACTCTTTTTTGTTGTTATCGACTGTTGATTAAAAATATTTTTGAACCCATTATTGTATTTTAAAATATTAACAGAATATTATGCCCTCCAATTTCGACTAATAAAAATCCATAAATTTTTTCCTAGTATAATAATCTTTTACACAATTGGATTATTTCAAAATATGAATATTTAGTAAATTCAGTCTTTAAAGAAAAATATGATGAGTAGGGCCCGGATTAATATGTAAATACATATTTTTAATTTACGCAATTTTCGGTCTAGAATGTGTTTTTTACATGGACTGTCATATTTAGACTGAAAAACCAACTTTTATTTTCCATATTTTACCATATTTCAAAGTTAAGTCCATATTTTACAAGAAAATGTCACAATCATCCATATATTCACAAAAATACATAAAATTTACGATCCCGCCACTAATGTTTTGGATAAAAATAAAGGATTATTATTATTACGCAAAAATTTATTATTATTACGCTAAAAAAAATAACAAAATTCTGTGCGAAAGTTTCGAGGGCTGTAGACATGGCTTACACAATTACTGAATTAAGCATGTTTAAGTATGCACCCATCACGTCATGAGACTTAAGATGAGACCAATTAGCAGATATAAGGCTATATTTCGACCAAATCGCCAGAGTTTTAATTTTGATAATTTAAAGAAGCACATCATTGTGTATTGCAACCAATTTGATAAGGCTAGTGTAATGGAAGTTGAATAAAACTCTTATTTTTTGTTGAAATAAATATTCCGCTACTTTTTTCAATGTTTTTTAAATGTAACTTAACGATGTATGTCACGAGTGACCCTTATCTTATAGTGAAACAATGTTTAATTATGAAAGTATTTAATTTTATACTCCATATTTTTTCCATATTTTTGATTTTTTTGTCCATATATGTACATATTTTAGATTTTTTAATACATATTTATCCGGGCCCTAATTATGACTAAAGAGAAATAAAATGTTGTAGAACTATATCTGTTTGAGAAATATCTGAGTAATAGTTATACTTTTATTAGATAGTCAATAAAAAACATCCTTTATAATGAACAGCTATCAGATCGTTCTATATAATTAAAATAATTCTTTATAGTTCTTTATTAAAATAAATAAAGTTAGTCATAGAGAAAATATCTGAATAACATTGACTAACCACCTGAATGGATAGAATCACGGTAATGCCTCTAAAATGAGATCTTTCTACTTTCCGGCGTCGGGACGTGACGACCCCATCGCCCACCGGTGTATTCCGGTGCAATTAGTCACGGGGGGGAAGGGCCTTGACCTCCTCGTGGGGTCTTGACCCGGGCTGGGGGTGCAGCCCATGGAGGTGGGTAGGACGAGGCTCGGCGGTGTACACCGCCGCTGCCAAGTTCGGCCCTACGTGTTGGCGGGTGGCCTCGGCCACTGTCGGCGCAGTCCGGCGTCGGGACGTGACGACCCCATCGCCCACTGGTGTATTCCGGTGCAATCAGTCACGGGGGGGAGGGCGGGGGGTACAGCCCTGGGAGTAAGACGGTCACGGATCTGGCAGGAGGCCGTCCGTGGCTGTCTTGGGGGGGAGGGGATACTCGGGTCTCTCCGGAGGCCTGAGTTCGCTTGTGGTCGGTCAGTTTTCTCTCTGTCTGCCGTCGGGCGCTTGCGCTCGTCGGTGGGTGGTTGGAGACTGGCCGCGTGGGCTTGGGTGGGAGGGGTAAGGGGTTAACCCTCTCGCGATTAAGCAAGCCCGCCAGGCGGGGGGACACTCCTGGTCACTTGGAGTGAGCCCTCGGGGGGGGGGGAGGTGGCCGTTCGCGGCCCGCCGCTGGATCGTCGCGGATGCATGCTTAGGCGTTTCCCGTGGCGATCCACTTGGCGGCAACGGAGAGTGACCGCTGGTGTTTTAGTGGGTAACATGGGCCCTTCTGGCCGTGAATCCCACATAACCGCCTCTGTCTCCCCTAGACGGAGGGGTAGGTATAAAACCTTTCACCGCGATAACAAAAAAAAAAAAAAAGATCTTTCTACTTACATTTTTATGCGGAAATCTTTTATAGAGGACTATCAAATATTTAAATAAAATTATATTGTCATTTACACATTTTATAATTCAAAGGATATTTCCATTACTTTGCTATAATAATACTCACTAGAATTCATAATGACCCCCACCATACTTTAAAAGAAATTTGAATATCAATAAGTTTAACTTCAAATACCAAATTGCTCTATTGATGAAGTCAACACACTGACTATCTGACATCCCTTAAATTTAGCGGGAAGGTTTGACACATTTAACAATTAGTGTTTTTATGTAACCATTCTTTAATGCTCATAAACATTTTAATTTTACTAGAGTTAAATAGGAAAACGAACTTGACTTTTTTGAAGATTATTACATTTTAATTATAACGTATGTATTGGTCGTAGGTACATTGTCGTACTTTGTGTGATCCTGGACAAGAAATCAATCAGATTGTAACAAAAATTTTAAGAGTATGTTCTGGGTCCAATCACGAAGAATAGTGATTCAAGAGACTATAATATATTGTCTAACAATACTTTTTCATAGTAAAACCTCTTTCCTGGGTAGTTTAAATAATAGTGACATCGAATATGTAGTCTATATTTTCTATAAAACAACAAATAAATAGCATACTTTCTCTTAACTAACAACTAATATACATTATGTACTAAAATACATTTGTATCTGTAATAATAATTTTGATAATTTTAATGAATACAAATACAAAATTGCGTAACTAAAAGCAAATTTGAAACTAAATTGTTTTAATCACTACTACATTACGGCTTAAAATATTTTAACATCAAAATCTTTTTATAAATTACATTAAAATCTTACAAAGTAGTGACTTTTTGACTTACATTAAGTTTATTACAAACTATATTTCCAAATAATATGAAAATATTTATAATAAGCATTAACATAAGAATGTATTAAGTTCCAAGCAAAAAGGTGAAAAATATTTATTTATATTACATTGATACGTTTATAATGTAATATTTAACAGATAAATGATACTTTCATATATTATTTTAAACAAAACAACGAAACAAAAACAAAACTTGTTTTTTTAATAAATTGATATCTCAAAAAATAGGCATCTTAATTTAACAAAGGATAATTTTCATAACAAAACTCAAAATAAATCAAATATTCAATTTGGTAGGTCTTCCAATATTGCATTTCTAATAGTGAATCACTTTGAAGCAAAAAGTATATAAAAATAATAATCTATCAACTGATGGCAAAAAAAAAACTTTTTGGACCATAAACTCACTTTTGTACCAACCATGAACAACTTTTAGTGAAATATCATTTTAATACTACCGTTAAACGGAATATCATTTTAATTAATTTGCTGACAGTACGAAATTTGGCAACATTATCTTAAGTTTTCATTTTCAAACTACATATAGTTTTACAAGTTTTTCATTCAAATAACAAGATTGATCTTATAATGAGCGGCGTTTTGTGAATAAAAAATTGGCCAACGTCTAATGTATAGATATAAAAATACAAACTAGTGCTAATGGTGACACAGAAAGTACTTGGAGCAAAAAAAATAACCAATATTTACAAATATTATAAGCGACAGTTCAAATCATATTAAGATATTCTTTTGACTTGAGAAGTAATATTTATGATTTCATCTTAGTGTCGACTAGTTCAGTAATCTGTATTACTTCGTATTTGAAAGTAACATCTTTCTTGCCATGGTGTTCTATAAGATGCTTAAATAATACGTCGGGTGAAAAGTGGAGACCGCATTTAGAACAGTTCTGCTTACTTTGTTTTAATTTAATTTTACCTTTGCATTTCTTTAAGTGTGTCTGTGCTGTTGCTTCCGATAGATAGTGTAAGCCACACTTACATTTATATATATTTATTTTTCTTTCTGAATGAGTATTAAAATCATTTTTTGAACTGGTAACACTGTCATCGCTGACGACGGTACTAATTTCATTATCCACAATACTTTCAACGTGGTTTTTTATATAATTTTTCGGACTAAAACTCTGTATAAACATAGTATCTCTTACAAAATATGGATCAGTATCGTGGAGTTTCAAATGCCCTTTTAGTTTTCCTTCGTCGAAAACTAAATCACATATATTGCATTTGGATTTAGCAGCGTCTATGAGACAGTAGTGTTGAAACGTACTCCTGTAATCCCGTACACACACATCACAGTTCAAACATTTATAGAACGTATAATCACAAACCATGCCAGAGAATTTAGAGACCTGGTGTTTGGACTTCAGAGGCTTTTGCTCTTTGGCTTCGAGTAGAATAACTTTCATGAAATTTTCCTTAAAACTGTTTAAACGTTTATGTTTCTCGACGTGAGCCTCATATTCATGTGCATTGAATACAAGTCCACAAGTTCCACAGTCTTTGTAATCACCAACAACACAAACATGCTCACATTTCCTATTCACCACAACGTGACACATTCTACATTCGTACAGAACATAAAATTTCTTCATACTAGCAATTTTCTTATTGTAATCTTCGTCTTCCTTTCCGTTGAAAATAACGATACTATTATTTGAGTTATCGTTATGTTCATTATTAGTAGAAATATTCTGGTCACAAGCCATATAATGTTCGTGAATTCCGTTACTATCGATATAATTATCGCATTTCTCGCATTTATACACGTTGACACCTGAAGATCCACGGTGGAATAATCTCATTTTCACCCTTGTTTCATGACGGTATATCGAGTTCTTGAGTATTTCGTCAACAGTATCCTGTGAACAATCTATACCAAATACGTGTTTCAACCACTTATCATTGTGAGAACCAAAATAAAACACGTCCATTTTGTAGTGATTACACTCGGCGTCTGGGAAGTCTTCGTGAAATTTCTTGTGTTCATCATAACGATTTTTATCAAATTGTAAATCACATATACTACATTCAATTTTGTCAATTATGATTTCATTAAGATCCCTATGCATGTGGCAGTGCTCGATTGCTTCGTCGTATGAATTAAAAGCCAAAATGCAATTGTTGCAAGAAAATACTGCATTTATCTTATTTTTTCCACAAACACTGCACGAACTTGGTGGATTTTCTTCAATAGTTGGGTTTTGGATTAGTCCTTCATTACTCAAAACCAAATCATGGAACGGCATATGTAAGTCGTAAGCAGTTTGTGACAGTTTCATATCACATTTTGGACAATTTAAATAGTTATAACGGTTACAAACGTGCCTCTTGACTTCGAACTTGGTTATAAAGTGTTTATCGCATGAATCACATTTGGGAAAAACCGGTATCGATGGTAAAATCTTCTTGCCGGTTTTCAAATCGTAAAACGTAAAATCTCTGATACTCAGATCTTTGCACTTCTGATGTAATTTTCTGTGGCTGTTGATGGATTTGTTGGAAAATACCAGACCACAATATTTACAGACATATTTTATTAAATGAGCACAAAGAGAGCGAAAATGAATTGCTGATTTGTAATGAGCTCTTAATATGTTACAATCACAAACTTTACACTGCATCAGATGGAACATATATTTCGGAATACCACCTTTTCTTCTTTTATGGCTTCTTACAAAGGTCCTTTTCTTTCGTTTTTTAAATTCAACAATCTCATAATCGGAAGGCTTTAATTTCTGATCGTTATGTTCTTCGTAATGTGAGGTTTTAATATCCTCAGATATAAGAATATCACATATTTTGCAATAAGCTGATTGTGATGGACTCATTTTACAAACTGTGTGATGTTTTAAAATTCCTTCTTTACTGAAATGTACAGCACATGATGGACACTTATGGAGTATTCTTTTATGTACCTCTTGTGTGTCCTGACCTTTACATATATTGACTGTTATATAGTTTGAATATTTATGTTGTTCCATATGAAGATGTATATCCTTATTTTTGAATAGTCTTCCACAAATTGTACACTCTGAATCATCCAACGATAAGTGCTCTGTGTGATCTTTTACTGAAGCATTTGTCAGAAAATGTATATTACATTGTGAACATTGAAATAGAATTGTCTGGTGTGCCACAACTTTAACATTGGCTGTAATGGTTCTTAACTGTAACTTTTCTTCACTTATATCTTTATCATTATTGAAACTCATTTCATCATTTATCGGGTCCACTTCAAGGCTTATATGATCTTGACTTTTAAAATCAAACAAAGTCTTCTTTGCAACAACTTTGTTGATTTTATTGGAGCTTTGTTTTCTTACTCTTTGTAAAATTTTATTTTTATGTCTTTTATGTAAATGTGTGTTGTATGATTTGTAATTTGAGTATTGTAAATGACAGAATGTACAGTTAGGTTTGAACAGCACCATGCTAGTTTCTTTTACTTTAGATACATTATGCTTCTTCATCATATGCGCTTCATAGAAATCCCATTCCTTAAAGCAGTATGAACATATTGGACATCTAAATATCTTGACATCTTGAATCGTTTCATCAGTATATTTATATTGTTCTTGATGAATATCTTTTTGCGGTTTCTTATTTTGATCATCCTTCGACTCAGATTCATTAATTGGTTTAATTTGTGAACTCTGAGTCTTTTTTGAATTCAAGACATCATACAGGTGATCTATAAGCAATTGTTGTGTTTTAAATTGCATGTCACAGTGAAAGCAATCTTTAAGATTACTTTCTGGTAATGAATTAAAATTTGTCTCATTTATTTTTACCATTACATTAACCCCAGTAATTGTTTTGTCATTATAGCTGCAGTTTTCATGAATTGCATGAACATTGCTCCTATGTCTACTCAAGTCACCATAGTTTACAAATGTAACATTGCATTCATTACACTCAAAGTTTTTATCACAATTTTCATTTATCGGTAATCCATGTGTATATAATCTGTGTTGATTGTATGATTCTGTTGTTGGAAAAACAATTGAACATGTTTTACAAAAGTTTGGGTTTTTATTTAAAGATGATGAAATATTCAGCAAACAGACTTTCGGTTTTTTAAGTTGTAGCTTCAATTTTTGGTTTTCATGTGTGCTGATAGGGGTTTTTGTGCCAAATATATTACTTTCCTCTTTTATTTCCGTTTTAAATTTTCTTTGGTTTATGTCATTTATTGTTGTTGTTACTTCAGTCCTCATTGAGTCTTCAGTAATACTGCTTTGAGAGGATTCATCACATCCATCATCTAGAAAATCAGTTTTGATTAATAAATGTGTAATAAATAATTTTTAGGAAAACAGTGCCTATGAGTACTGAGATACTGCAAGATTTTACTAGTAATTTTGTAATTGTACAATATAATTAATATAGGTTTTATATAATTTTATGTAATAACTTTAATGCATAAATATTTTGTATTCCTTAATTATAATAAGTAATACTTACAGTTATCATAATCATTTATTTCTTTTTTAAGTATTGATAAATCAGGAAAAATCCCTTTGATGCGAGGATTTTCTAAAACATCATGTTCTTCAATTTCGATTTCATCAGCCATTTTTGAAATACAATTATATTCTTTGTATTCTTACAAATAATTGCCATTAATATTATTTGTTTTCGAAAATTTTTAAATTAGGTATTTACATTTTGGTCTCTGAGAAGATTTAGTACTAATCTTGTTTTAAGAATCAATAATTCAATTTGAAATATTATATGGAACACCATTCTTTAATATATGAGGACGGTAATTTAAAAAATATTAAAACACCTTTTCCAAACATTATTACCCTAAATCAAAATAGGCATCATTAGCAAAAACACAATTTGACAGTCAACTTCAAACATAATATTTTTGTGTAACATCACATTCAATTTATTTCTAATTTATTATTTAAAAAAATGATTTGTTTCATGTAAATCAATAAGGACTTATATTGTATTTTAATACATTTAATATATTATAAGAAAATAACAATTAACTAAGATTTTAAAAAAATATTTTCAGTTACAGCCCTAATTTTATATAAAATTTTATGTGCTTAATGAAAAATGTATACAGTCAAAAATATTTTAACCAAAACAATCTAGTCTTGAACAAAATATGTAATTTTACAATTATAAAGTGATGTTTATTAAATTATATACAGTATTTCCGTATCGTTATGTTGGAGGCTTATAATAATTATTTTTTCCTAGTAGATAATTTTAAATAAAAAGCTCTCCCCCATCAATAAAATAAAAATGCTTTTACATTTTATATCCTTATCCTTAGAACTGTATACACCACGAACTACTTCATCAATATGAGACAATCGTTTTTATAACTAAGTATACCATAAAGTTTTCTCTAGTAACTTCTTCACTTTATAATTTGAAAAGAAATTACCTTTCCAATATCAAAGCCAGGGTCACCATTCTATGGTTTTTAATCTAGTAACTCCATCACCCCCTTTTCCTCTCCGCACAGCTGATCAAATGTCATTTGTCAAGAAAATGGAGTTTTGTTACGCATAATAAATTATGTTTAAAAGTTCCAATATGAAATCAAATATACAAATCTTTGTAAATTGTTTTGGTTAGAATGGATAGTTCAACTCCGTTTCAACCTTGGTCTAGTGACGATAATTCAAAGAATGTTAAATCTGAAAGAGAATTAGTAGATGACGCGAAACTTCATCGGGAAAATGTCAATCATCCAAAACATAGGCAAACTGCGTCTTACAATAAAGAAAGTGTCGTCGATCCTAGCGTCGTTCCTGGACCATCGAGTGCCACGGACACCGATGTCCATCCACTCGGTGGTAAGGAGTCAAAAATGGACTCCAGCAAAATAGCTTCCATGCAACAAATAGTCGAGAACACACTCAGGTATTTAATATTTATGGTTTACCGAATCGATGTATTTTACATGACAATTAGTTTGTTATACGCTCAGCAGCAGTTCTACTTCTATAAAATCTTTATATATGATAAAAACAACTTTTAAAATTATTCATAATAATCTTTTAAAATCAACCAGATAATTGATTTTGTGTTTGGCGATTTGTTTATGTTGCTTGTAATAATCAAAATATGAGACTCCCTATACACCTAAAGTAATTTTAGTTTTGAAATACAAATATAACTGACATATAAACATTGACAATATAAACATATCTATCAGCAAAACTGTTAATATACATGAAACATTTTTTAATTCACATTCAAATGAACTAGTTATACCTACATACTAATCCATAATCTCATATATAACTTTACTCGATAAACTTAAAATATGTTAAATTAATGTTTTACAGGCATACCATTAAAGAAAATATTTGTTTTTATTTCATACCAGAAACATTTCTTGACTTCAATCGCTTAAAAATTTCATTTAAAAATTATTACGAAGTCTTGTATGAATCTATTAAGTTATAAAAAAATCTGTATAGAGAATAATTAATCATTAGACTTAGATAATATTCGTAGATTATGTACATTGGCACTCAAAATTAATTGTAGAGAAATATTAAAACCATTGATTTAATGCAAATTGTGCATTTTCTAAAATTATGTTTAGTTTCCCAAAAATCTTTTTATTACATGGACCATTGTTTCTTAAAACTTTATGTATACCGTAAACAACAAAATCTTAATAAGATCTAAGATTTTGCCGAGTCCTCATTTAAATGAAACTAATATTTTTGGATTTACTACATGTAGTTTATTGTCAAAAAAAAAAGTGCGTAGTAAATCCGAAAATATTAGTTTCATGTAACCAAAATCTTTAACCTTATGTTATGAGTGTACATTGCATTTCACGGGATATTGCATGTGAGACACTTAATTGAGTAACCATTGATGGAAAGAGCCTAATACTCGAAAACCAATGGATTGGTACTAACCAAATATAGTAGAGAACAACTTCAAGGAAAGTGGCGTTCAAATGTGTTGAAGTTAGTTGTTATCTGTTTGAGGGCTATAATGCCATACAGATATACACACTGATGGACATTAATGTCTAAAATGTTAAACTTATATGAAACTCTTAGTGCATTTGAGTCTAAGACGGAGAACTTTGTAGATTATGTCAACCCATATTTATGTTATTTTTTGGTCGTCAAATCCATTTTTAACTTTATTGATTTTATATCTCTTAACGGTTGAAGCTCGCCAAACCCTTTTGCCTAATATTTGTTTCATTCACATGATTTTGTTGTATCTAGATTAAATGCATGCAAATATATCACAAATGATCTATATATAAATATGAAGCACTATATTTTTAATTATATTTAAACTATTCCGTCAAAATAAAGCTTTAATCATAATATATATCACGTTATAAGTTAAAATTTTGTTTCTATATCCATTTTTTAATATTAAAAAAACTCCTTATTTATTTATACCAGCTCAAAACTTTCATAATCAGAAAGTATTCTAATAAATATTGTTGTTACACAATACTGTTAAAAATGTTGTTATTTAATGTTCCAAAGTTACATTCAAGATAATGATTTATACACAAACATTAAAAATAATTGTTTTTAAGGACTCTATCCACAATTTATATTACTGTGACCATAAAAGTAATATGTTAGAAAAAATATATATTTATTGAAAAGTATGAGACTATGCCCACTAGATTGTTCCGTTACTTAACAGTATATAGTATAGTAGAGCATATTGTGTTGCATGTAAGTCCTGAAACGTTCCTAGCACGTTCATTTATTTATTTAAAACTTTATTGTCTAACTACAATGACGTAGACACAAAAGGCGGACTTAATGCCTGAAGGCATTATTAAAATAAGGCATAGGCATAGGTTCATATTATCATATGTTGTGTGTTGCCTCCATAAGTCATAAAGCGAATGAAATTCCAGTCAAGAGGGCCGTCAAAGAGTGTCACATTTGCTGGAAGCTGTAGAGGGTCTCAGTGGTGCGGAGAGACTGTTGCTATATCTTCGTCTACCAACCGGTGTACCTCCACACGATCCACTTAAACAGCCGGTCAATCCGCTGGGCTCCAGGTATGTATAATTATTTAAGGAAAAAATGCTTTATTTTAATCCAACTAATATTATTATAAACAGAATGAAATATGCTATAAGATAAGTATTAAACCTGGTTGATATAGACAATGTTATCTATACTAATATTATAAAGCTGAAGAGTTTGTTTGTTTGTTTGAAAGCGCTAATCTCCGAAACTACTGGTTCGAATTGAATAATTCTTTTTGTGTTGGATAGTCCAGTTATCGAGGAAGGCTGTAGGCTATATAACATCACGCTACGACCAATAGGAGCAAAGATATAGTGGTAAATGTGTAAAAAACGGGAGAAATTATTTCATCTTTGAAGCCTTCCTTTGCGTGCTCCGTGAAAACGGTTCAAGATACACAAAAAATATGTATCAAAGAATAATAGCTCTTTTAATGATCTAAAAAACAGTTCGCGACAGTATATGTCTATCTTTTAAGATGATGTCTATCTTTTAATATGTCTATCTTTCACAAAAACCGTTTTTATGGTACCTAATTTGGTTGAAATAATTTGTTTAAGTTGTATCAACATAATAATATTAATCTTTATTCAAATAAACAAATAAATATGTTGTTGGTTAAGAGTACTTCATTGTGAATAAAAGAAACATAGGTTTTATCCTGAAAATTCTACGGGAACTCAACCATTCCGAAAACCCCGAAAGAACGGGAACTATGTGGGAAGAACCAAAAATCTGCCGGAAGTCACTATTCCAGGCGGACGAAGTCGCGGCAAAAGCTAGTTTTCTATAAAACATACGAAACTTATTACAGCATTGATAAAAACTACTATAAATACAATAATAGTAACGTACTACAACAGGAGTTTTATAAATCGTAGTATTATCATCAAATAAAAATTAATCAATACTAATAATTCTCATAACTTATTGTTATTAATAATAATATTGTTTATAATTACAATAAATTAAATTACATTAAAATGCATAATCTTAGCGTCTAAATTATCGCTAAAGAGCGATCTTTTCCAGACAATCATTCAAGTTGTTATATACTATAATAAGTATTTTCTGCAAAGCATCTCCCTTGTCGTGTATTGTAGCAAATAACTAGATAGCATATAGGAGTATTATTTTCTATGATATTGACATTTCAAAGTTTATTTACCTACCTAGTTTTTGAATCCCCAAAAACTGTAAGACAACCCGTTTTATGTAAATTTTTGGGAACCCTACTGCCAGTTAGATCTTACCAATTTTGCATTCATAAACGTAAATTAATATTATCACGAGCGAAAGTTTATTAATTGAAAACTGGAAACGCTTCATATGAAAACGATTCGAGCTTAAAGGCTATAGAGGCTAATTTAACTTTTAGAAATAAAGTATTTTATTGTAGCTATAATACGACTATCAAGAATTAATGCAATCAAGTTTTTGTTTTAATAAGATTTTTTAATATAGTTCAAAATCAATATAATTTCCTATTCAATGGCCTTTATCCGTGAAAAATATGCACAATGTATTCTGCCTATGTTACTAGATATTCTTTGTTTCATAGAATAATTTTTAAAACTTATATTTTAATAATTTTAATTCCAGAGCTGAACTACAGCAGACCGTAACGTGGATACAAACACACTTGGAGGTTGATCCTGACGTTTCTTTGCCAAAACAAGATGTTTACGATGAATACATGTAAGTTAAAACATCATATACTATTTGACAGACGTAGCGAAAAAAAAATCAACCAAATTCAAATCCTAGGTGCATACCCTTAGTCTTATGCCTAATACGAATTTGTATCGTAATACATAAAACCTTCAGTATCATGTTTTGTACTCAAGAATTTACGTAAATATAGCAATCATAATTATTTTTATGTAAAAATCGCCATAATTTCTTTTTCAATACAAATGTTTTTATTATAATTTTAAACGTAAACGTATCTTTGATTGCTAAAAATGTTTTGACATAGATTACGTAACTGCCAATAATGAGCAATTACTCTTATGAAAAAACGGAGAAGTTCAAGGTCAACTCCCACACAGAAACTATAAAAATGAGGAGAAAGATTTACATGCAGTCTTATAGAAATTACTTCGTGATAAAAAAAAACTTTTTTTTGTTTTAACAAATATAAAAATATACAAACCTATTAAGAATGACGTTTCCTTCATACAGTTATCATTAAGATTAACTTTTTTTTAAATACTTTATCAAACCTTATTAATAATTTTAGTTTGCCATTGTATAATTTATATAAACACTTAATTCCGATAACAATATGGTCGTATTTAAATGTTTCTACTCTTGAAAATATTATCGTTTATTATTCAAATTATTGCTTAAGCGATGTTCTCAAAACAATATAAACATTAACAGTAACGGTAAAAGTATTCAAAAGTTCTCGATCCATATTATAACCTCTTTGGAATTGACAAAATTTGTTTTTTTTTTTTCAAATATTAAATAGATTAGTATAAAAAGCCGAAATTATCTAATAATGGTATTTTTATCATCGCCGCCTGTTCGTAATCTTCGATTCAATGTCATCACGCGGTTTTATCTATTATCAAGGGCTGAATTATCAGCGGTACTGCAAAAAAAAATTCAAAAGATATCGCTCTGTTGGGTACGAAGTGACGTCACTATCAAAGTGACTTATGTATCAATATTTCGACGTTATAATATTTTCGATATAATTTTTTTAACATATTTTATTCGATTTTATAAGGACATTATTTTTATTTTTGTTAATATATTGATCGCATTTAAACTTAGCTGAATTTAAGTGTACATTATCATAAAACTGATTTAATTTCTAGCGCATAACTACTTCTTGTTCTTAATGTCAGTATCCAAATACTAATATTCTAAAAAATAATTTACTAGGACTAAGTTTATTACGACTACAAAGAAACAGAAATTTACAATGAATTAATGTAAAAAAGATTTATATATCTAGTATCTTTAGATTCAACTCCATCGAGTTGTATACCAATGACGTAGTTGCGTAATATCTTTAAAAATATATTTAATTTTGAACATAAAAACTTCTTTTTTGAAAGTCGGTTTATACATACGTTTTACTTTATTTTAATAAACAGTATATACCCCTAATCTCAGATCTATACGTAACATAAAACTGTCGAAGTTTTTGAGATTCTTAATTTATTACAAATGATAAAACACGAATTGAATGGATTTAACTTAGCATTAATAAAACTGGTGATATGATATATAAACTTAATATTAATAAAATGGTTGACTCTTTTATTATTAAGGATTTTTAAATCTTTATTTTATGGTTTTTATTAATTTTAATGCAATATTGTAATTAGCAAGTCATTTAAGTAGTAGTGTAATATAGTTTATACACAAATATTTTTTACAATTTTTTCTGTATATACCTATTGATTTTTTTTTTATACTTCTAGAGCTCATTGTATGACCAGCAATATGAAACCATTATCGACCGCTGATTTCGGCAAAGTCATGAAACAGGTGTATCCGAGTGTGCGCCCGCGCAGGTTAGGAACGCGCGGCAATTCAAGGTAACAGTTAAACAAAAATTCGCTTATAACATACCTTAATAATAAGTTTCCACTTCAAGATAACAAAAGGTTTTTGGGGTTTAATCCTCCAAATTGTTGCCATAATCACATTATTATTTACCTAAACATATGCGTATTTCTCCCCACCAACATTTACAGGGGGAAATTCCCCTGAATTAGGCAAATTTAATAATGATACACATTTTTGGACTTGAATAATAAGATATAAATATCAGAATTATGAGGTTACCTTTATAACTTCTATGAAAAGTAGCAAAATAAAGAAATGTAAAAATACTAATATTACGTATAGATTTTGCAAACATACCCTAAACTGAAATAATGTCCCATCTCTTTAATAACAGATTTATTTCACAAAAAGCTTGGACAGTTTCGATATATTGATTTTTGAGCATTACAAAATGACTAATAAATAACACTTTAACCCTATAATAACCTTTTCATGTTCGTCCTTTGAATTCCTTTAAGAAAAAAATATAAATTATACGTAATAGAAACAAGATGGAATAATCAGTTTAGTCCTATTTTTTGGTACATTTAATTTCCATAATTATGTTCAAGTAAATATAATATGTTTTTCATTAAAACCAGATACTGCTACGCTGGTCTACGGAAGAAAGTTAAACTTGAAGTGCCACAGTTGCCAAATTTGGGTGAATCGACCAAGGTATGGAAAATCTAGTAATTCCTATAAAAAATGCATATTTTTTATGTTTGGATAAGTGTACGTAAATTTGTTTCATTTTCAGGAACCAAGCGTGCCTTCAAGAGAAAGTGAAAGAATCATTTGTGATTGGGCTGAAACTAAATTGGGTAAGTTACTACTATACAGGCTTTAAAATGAAACTCTGGATCTCTTCTTAAATTAATGCCATCACAGAAAACTAATGAATGTGTAATTTTGTATATAATTTAAGTCTATGAAAGAAACCGCTTATCAATACCTTTCTCGTAATTCCTCCAATTGAAACGAGAACTGAATTTAATATGGATAATGGATACGTTATATATTGGGGCTATTTTTATATGTTGGAAACAATTTCAGACATTTAAACCACGAATAAGCATTATGGTATAGTGGCAGCAGAGAGAGTAGAATCCTTACCTTATTGGGCAAATCAAATTTAATATGTTTATTATTTATTAAATTATCACATGATCCATAAAATTCTCATTGCTATTGGCATGTTATTCTGTTAATGAAAAATTATGAATATAGATTTTTAACTAGTATTAACAAATTGCTTTCAAAAATATGTTAACTATAGCAATGTAATTTCGTACTATAATAGTACTTACAAAAATTTCAGGCGTTAAGTTCATGAACATATCGGAGTTATCTCGTCACTTGTTAAACGCGACGCGCGCTCCGCCCGGTCCGACCAGCGCCACACCGCCCCCACAAACGCATGGTATGTATGGAGCCTTATGGTTTATTGAATACTCATCAACGTCTAACGAGAACCTTATCTTGCAGGATCTGATGAACCACCGGGACCACAGTTAATGAAACAACAGTTAAAGAGAAAGCTACAGGTATTAATAAACATTATAATATTACACACACTCACTCACAAATCTATTTATAGGTTTTTGCATAATCAAATTCATTTTATTTTCAGACGCAGGGTACAGTGGGTAGACCGAAAAAGAACAAGGGGCAAGAAGTAGCCGGGGAATCGCCGCCGTCCACTTCATACGTAAGCCATACCACAGTGAAACATGAGAGCGAATTAGTACCAGAATCGTACGGATATCAGCAAGCTTACATGCCCGTGTATGACGTACGGCCGGCCTTCCCCTATGCGGCGCCACCCCGTGCTCACCCTCCACACCCTCACCCGCCTCACCCTCATCCTCCACCACCGCACCCTCCCGCCATCCCAGTACACGACTACCGGCCCGATCCTTACGTCTTCGAGCCGCCGTATGCACCGCGCGACCTCACTCTCCCGGACACGGCCCACAACGTACCGATCAACCTCAGCAGTGATGTTTCCCTCGACCTATCCACCGAGCGCACGGAGTGGCAACGCCGCCGTCCCCCGGACCCTCCGGCCCAAACCACCCGTCTCCCGCTGCCTGGGAAGAAGTTGATCTTGGAGACGTATCAGAGCGAGACTCAAGCCAGCTCCCCTCGCTCCTCACAAACGGACACGCGAGCCGTCCACCAGCCGCCAGAAGAATTCCAGCCCACCGAATACTTGCCTAAGAAGATGCGCGCCGCTGAGATACTGGGCGGTAAGTTGGCGGCACCGAGACAGGTCGCCGCTGCGGACGCGTCGACGTCATCATCGACAGGGGCGGAATCGGCACGTTCCGAGGTTGCTTTTTTAGAGGATCCAAAAAACTTAACGAACCGGTCCAAAAGCACCGCCGCGGCGCTGGCCCGGGAGGAACAGGAGGCGGCGAGTCCGACACGGTCGGTGAAGGCTCCGACGCCTAAACACAATCGAACTAAACTGAGAAAATCGGCACACATGCGAACGAAAGGGCCGTCTCCGGAGGGGAACGAGCACGACCCCCCCGCGGCGCAAGATACCTGCTGTGGTATTAATGGGATCAATATCATAACAGGAATGATCTGCGGGGAAAAACATTCTGAGATATTGAACCGTGAACGAGTTATTAGCATCTGTAATATCGATAAACACGATTTAGACGATTATCTCAATGAGGGTAATAGTCAGGAACACGAGGAAGAATTGATGCAATACTTCCATCATCGCGATAGTGATACAGATGTACCAGCAAAACCCAATCAGAATGATAATACAACGACTTTTTTAGAAACAGGTCAGGACCCACACGACGAACATAGTCAGGGGAAGAGTGAAAAAATATCGCAACTGCGAGAACTACTAGCTAAGAATTTGAAAAGTGGGTCCAATACACAGAATTTATTATTAAATCTAGAAAAACAAACTCCGATTAATAATAACCATGAAACACATGTTAATAAGAGTTCAATATCGGATGGAGCATTTAGGCCACTAAACAACGTTATAGAAATGATTAACGGTTCCAATGGCTCAAACGAAAATGAAAATAATGTAAGGAAAAAATGTGATAATATTCCAAATGAAAACGGAACATCCGCTTGTGCTCCGGAGACTTCACACACTCAGGTAATGACTACAGCGACTGGGTCTCATCTTTACAATGGTAACTGTCATACGGAACCACAAAGTCCAACTACTAGAACGCAACAATACGATTTTGTACCAATATCAGAAGGAAGTCATTCTCCTGGGAATTTTAATTCGAAATCTCCATTGGGCTTTGGACAACGAGGGCACAGTCCAACGAAAACAAATAAACCTATAATAATGGGTGGTTCCTTGCAAACATCTCCGATTTCACATAGCATGGCAGCAAGTCCTTTTGTCAGCCCAAGAAATACCCCGGTGCCAAGGTCACGCTATTGTTCTAGACCAATACCTAAACATAACAATAGAAAGAGACGTACCATTTTGTCACTCGGTGTAAATGAGACTGGCACTAAACAATTCGCAATACCAAATGATCAGAAATTCCTACCGAAGTCCTCCTTGGGTGGGCAGAATATAAAATATTTACAACCAATGTCAGCACCTCCATCGCCCAACCTCCTACCACACTTTAAACAACAGATGATACCGAATTCAATCCTACCAAATGGCACTAGTAGTATGTGCTTTGCGTCAAATAACTTTCGAGAGAATGTTAATGGTGAAATGCCACAACCATTATCAGCAGATCCTTTGTCCAGTGAAGTGAGTCAATTTTTTCAGGAGCCTGTAACGGGTTACAGAATAGCTCATGATACTTCTTTTAGATCACAATCGGTACCATTGAAACAGGCAACCATAAACATTGGCTTGTTAAGCTACAACAATACACCAGTCGGTTCCGTCCCACCTACACCAGTACCGAATGAGTTTTGCGATTTTGGTTCTTTAGCTGACACTTGTGATATATCTAGAGCTGGACTCAATCCTGAGACCCTAGATAAAATATACGACGCTATTGATAGCAGCAATGACGTACTTAACGGTGGCACGAGTAATAACATATTAAACTCCAGCGACACCCTAACTAACGGTTGTGATCCTTTACCCGAGCAACAGATTCTGATAGATGAACAGTTAAGTTCACTTATACCTAGCGGGGAAGAATTGCTTGAAAGGAGCTCCCTTATGACCAGCGGAGAAGACTTACTCGACAGGGGTGAACAATTCAACGAGTCGTTTCCCAATGACTCGACGGCTTCAGAGAATGTGGAAGAGTTCTTGAAACGTACAAACAGCATAGAATTTGATTTATCTGACTTGGTGACAGAAAAAAGTAAATACTACGCATCACGTTCCGTACCAAGTACCCCATTGCCTTACAAGCGAGCTGCTTCGAACTTACAAATAGATCCACGGAACGCTAGAGATCTCTTTGCTACTGACAATTATTCCAGTGTAACGAACGGTATATCTTCAAAATCTGTGCCATCTACACCACAATTAGCGGAAGATCGGAGTGTTTTCAGTTACACCAACAGAGACTTTCTCATTAACGGTAACTCGGTGGACATGTGCTCTAATCAGATTAGGCAACCGGTTGATAATGACCAAGCCTTGACGTCTCCACTTGAGGAAATACTAGGTCCTCTAACTCCAGCCGCAGATCTATTGGCTGACCTCGACAAAATAGATACAGCTCCATATGTTGACCTCTAGTCGGCAAATCATTATCACCAGTTAGAAATAAGGTTAGCTTCATTTTTGTACAGCCTGATATCACGTATTGGATATCTTATAGAGTACAATGTTTTATATGCCTTCAGTGAAGGCAACAATTATTATTGCAACATATAGTTCGAAGAAGTATCGCACACTCCCATATATTTGAGTCAATACAATGCACCACAATGATGTGATAGAAATATTTTTTAGCGAAGTGATATCTCCATTTTACTAGACTAAGTAAATAACAATGAGATTTTTTCTTTTAAAATTTATATCACTAATTAAGTACGATTCGAAAGCAGTAATTTTCTGTAGGCCTATGATAGAATTTATATTTAATTGAATATTGGAAATCGCAAATTTTAAATAGAAAGATCGTAATATGAATGTAGTTACTTTTTAGTTGTCGGGGCCAAATTTAATATTTGAATCGGTAGAGGTCGTGCTTCATGACAATATGTAAGCTCATTGTATAATAATGTTACACATCGAAATTTTGATACTTAATGTATGTAGTGTTTAATAGTTTTATTAAAACGTAAATCGCTAGCTGATGTATACCTTCTGTATAATATGATTAGCTAACGTGGATATAACTAAGCAGACCAATCCGTCACGCAAAGCGTGCAACGCGATCTATTAATAATTGGTTTTCTTAAGAAGAATGTATATTAGTATATAGTTTATAAAAATGAATTTATTGTAAGTCAGCACAAAGATTTTAATATATTTTATTATCGAATAGGAGTTATTCTCTTATACGCTAAATTTATAAAGTCGCATCTGATGTGATGATGAATTATAACACGCCCTATACGGCCGCAGTGAGCTTATGTGAATATCACATTGAAAATTATTATTATATTGTTGAGATCGTAGAAGAGTCGGCTGCAAAACATTTTTGTTGAATTAGTATTTATTGAAATCATTTGCACAGCATCGGTTGTATTGAATACGTTCAAATTCATATCGGTCGACTTCCTCGTTTCCGGTCAAGATAGACCTTAAAATATCGGACTGTTATTTTCAATGTAATTGTTAAATATTTTGTTGATGCTTCATAAATCATTATAACAAATATTTTTACATTATCTACAATCTAATAAATTTTTTATAAATCGTTTGACATTAAATTGACGTTTTACTTTAATTTATTTCCTAGTAATTGTGCCTAAATTGATACGATGAATTAAATATGCAGGCTTAGTAGTTCGATCGTTAACGCTAGTACAAATGAGACACTGATTCGACAGGGATATACATAAATGTAAGTGAAACCGAAGACTGTTAAAAGTTTATAGATATTTTGAATCGTGAAATAACAATTTCCAATGTTGTCTCGAAGTAGGACAATGATATAAACAGCTGTATATTCCAATTTGGTACAATATACCAATATAGTCTTGTACCTTATAATTCTAAGTGTACTGTGTCAATGTTCATATATTATGATGTTAAAAGTTAGTGTTTATGAGGTCTTATTGAATTGTAATATGCCATACCTACATTTATAGGTTAAGGTTTTTAATAGTTGAAACATTTTCAATCAGACCTCTCATAATTAGTTTAGTATGTGTTTTGTAAATAATTTATGTTATTTTATATGAGACGTTTACTGTATAACAATTTTTTTTATCACCGACTGTAACAACCATCATACGTCTAATTTTTTTAATCGCATGTAAATATACCAAGAATTTGGTATACTTGTATTATTCAAATAGAAATTTTAATTCAACATTATAATACTATAATTCAATTTTAATTATACAACATGTTTTTTATTGCAAATAATATGTCAATTTTAATTTCTCAATAACAAATAATATTCACTAAACCAACTCACTTATGTACAAAGTAAATTAGTTGAGTACGCGTGAATTTGTATTATTTTAAAATCATTCATTTAATGGAAACACAAAATACATGTTAATAATAATTATCTAACAAATTTGTTGTAACAAACGATTGAATATACATACCTAACATTGTCAATTATGTGCAATTGTAGAGATGAATCAATAAATCCACTTGAATAAAACTTTAAAAAAATATATAGCTACATTGTCAGAGTTTTGACAATTAAAAACTTAAATCAGCCATATGATGGAGATTTGTTACTATTTGTTTTGTAAATATATATAAATTTTGTAGACGTATGAGAACATGACACTTTTATTTTATTACAATTATGTTGGTTGTTTGATTATTATTGTTTTTATTTCTAAATATTTTTATGAATGTATGATATTTGTATAAGGTTTTAACTATATTTTAAGAAGATATCCATGTTGTTGATTAGTATTATGGATGTTGATTTACACCATTTGCTATGCAGTGATAATAAATGGTACCATGGATCTGTTATTTCATTTACATTAGTAAACTCCAACTACATCACAGAATTTTAGTCTCCTCCAAATAGTAAACATAAGTTTAATATATTATACAGTCAAAACCGTTTATAACGACATTGAAGGGACCGTATATATCCGACGTTATATCCGATAGTCGTTATAAGCAATAGTCATATACACAACTACAGTAGTTATACATATTGTCATATGTAGTCACATATCTATCTAGTATAGATATAGGTTATGTAAACGATTCAGAAAAGAAATAAAAATATTTATTACGAAATAATTAGAATACAAAATGTATGTACTTGGCTGCTTACAGTTACGGGTTATAAAAAACTACACTAGTTTTTAAAGTAATCAGTCATTTTAGAATTATTTTTTTAGAACAGTCTCAAATATTTTTAGCATTTTACGTTTCATACTCAAGGTATGAGTATCATCAATATCAAAGTGTTCGTTAAAGGCAAATTTTTTTTGCAAAACTGTTACATCATTAATAGCCTCGGAAATTATTGTTGGCTGAAACTGTGCTTCAAGGTCTTGTTGGTCTTCGTGTTGTTCGTTAGTGTTAGGGTTGTTACTTTTAGCTTCTGCAAGAATCTCTTCCTCAGTAGCTAAGGCGCTAACGCGACACTGTAATCTATTCCAATAAATTCCTCTATCTCAATTCTTTGTTCTAAAGCAGTAGATCTTTGCAACTGGGTAAGGACAAGGAGCGGTTGGTCGTTAAAGTCGATTAATATCGATAAATTTTCGTCGTTCTAAGCGATATGTCGCTGTATCCGATGTTGTTATAAGCGGTTTGTATACTGAATAGTTTACTAGCAATTCGGACGAGACCATACAATCTGGCTGTAATAACCGATAGGTCGTTGTAAACGATGTCGTTATAAACGGTTTTGACTGTATAAATAAATTTTAGTTTCAATAATATTACACACATGTTTATAAACAATAAAACTTTATTTATAAAAAAATATTTGCTTAAATACAAAACTCAATGAGTCATGATCAAGTAGAAGTTTTCCCATATCTCTCTAAGAACCAATCAAACAATATAGGATCATCCTCATGGGAATAATCGGAGACATGAACACTTTCTTCAGGATGCCATTCAAATAGTAAACTGATCATCGGTAAAGATTGTATGTTGTGTAAACCCTTTGAACCATGCTTCCTCTTTATTTCTCTTGCAAGACATCGCTTCACAAAAGTAAAAAAATCATCCAAGAAATTAAAGCAAACACTAGGATCCCAAAATTTCTAAAAAAGAATAATTAAAAATTATTTATCCATTACATTAATAATCTTGAACAAATTAATAATTTTAGTTATGTGACTAATTAGTAAATACAAATCTTAAGTATACTTATTTTTCGAAAAATAATGCATACCTTTGAAATTTTTGGTAAATCATTAACTCTGTACATTTTTAATTCTTCAACGATACCACTATCATTTCTACAACCGCACAAAATTGTTTCTACTCCCGTTAGAAATGATTGACACCACCATTTGATTGTTTTAAATTTCCTGAAAATGCTGTGATTATGTAACATGACAATGAAACAATAAATACAGAAAATTATCTTAAAATAAAATATACTTGAAATTCAATTCTTGTCTTGAAAACTCGATATGTCTATTTGTTTTCAGCTCTACAAAGTTCTTTGTGGACAAATACTTAAGAACCTCTTGTGGGTTTTTGCTGCTTGGTGGTAAGCTCACATGTGACTGATCACATCTTATGCCATCCATTTCCGCACCATAGACAATCTTATGCCTATTTAGATTTGTTGTAAAAACCAAAGAAAACTCTTCAGTTTCGTCAACGGGTCCACTTGGATCGGGAGCTTTGTCAGGTTTATCTGTGCAAAATAATAAGTTTTAATGACGTTATAAACACAAACTCCTACGTACATCTGATTTTTTATACTTAGAATTCAATATAGGCTTATTATTTTTTTGGTACTCCATTTATAAAGCCTTACCATCACTTAAACTTCTTGTAATATTTGTTAGACTTAATTAAATCAAAATTTATAAGCATTACATCTTCAATCTCTTTCATCTTCTCATCCTGTTTCCTTTTGTAAGTGTTTATTAAGTTGTTCTATAAAAGCAGAGCAACATGTTTTTGCCTAGAGCAATAATGGTTATTTGAAATTTTTTTTGCAGTCAGATAACCAGGTTTTCACCAAATATTAAATAAATCTCTTTTTACAACATCTTTACAAAATATAATGATAATAATTTATTTATGGCACAAGTTACAAACAGGTTAACGGACATTAATTCTTCTCAACTTATCTCAATTATGATGAGCAATGTAAGGCAAACTTTACATATACATAACTAGAATATAAAAGTAAACAGAGCAAACTCACCAGATTGAATATATTGTTCAAATTTAAAACCCCAGGATGTGAAGCAATTATTAGCCATCGCAATTTTTTGCTGCATTTTTTCTTCTGAATACCTTGCACATAAATAGATATTACCTTTATACAATATTACAGCTATTTTCCAAGGTTCTCGTTTTTCATACGGAGTACATGCAATACAAGTCAGTAAGCCGCGGTAGCAAAAGAATTGAGCACTCTCCAAATCGTTATGTACAGGTAAATTCAGCAGTCTCTCATTTTCTAACAAAAATTTTAATAATTCTGTTAGTTTAACGTCTAAGTCAGGTGGTTTACGTTTAGCTTGTTCTATTCCCAAATTTAAATCATAATTAACATTCTTTTCTTCAATACTTTGTACATACTTAAGATTTTCCAAACCAATGTAACCTATAATCTTAGGCTTTCCAAAATTTGGAAATTGTCTACGATATATACTCTGATGTGTTAATAATTCTGCCATTATAAACCAAAATTCAAACGTAATGAATACAATTTGAAATCATCATCAATCATCATACGAAGCGTATTTGTAAAATTTCAATGTGCTGTTCCATAAATAATTATATGTACATTCGCGATTCGATAAACTTTTTTCAATGACAATTGACAATTGAGTATTGACAGCAAGGAATGACATAAAAACAAAACTAAACCGCAGATTATACGAGTCTTTAGATTATAGTGTGATACAAGGTAAAGCCGAAAGAATGATCTACATTTACACCTAATAGACTTGATATTTTGACATAATAAATATTTCTTTTGTGGTATTTAGAAACTGATGGTTACCTGGACGATATTTGTTCCATTCCAAGTACTTCGCCGACACAACGAACATAAAATAAACATTAATAATTTTATATTTTGGTATTCACCCAGAGCATTTACATTAATTTAAAAGAATAGATTACAATTTCACGATAAATAGTTAAGATGTATCTTGTAAGTATCATTTGAGTTTGAAGCTAACACCGACTGTAGATATGTCAATTAGTGAAGCAATTCGGGAGCGTAAGATGGGAATGTCATTCCCGAACGTTGGGCTTTCAAATTTAAAATGTTGAAAAACAAGTTTTGTATGTCGTTGCATCGATAATATTTATATCAATAGTAGTTAAGACTCCACCATGGAAGCTAATAATCGCTTCCATAAATGCAGACTGTGTTTAAAGATCGGCGATTTCTGTTCAATATTCGAAAAAGATGACACGATTAAATTATCGGAAATGGTTATGTCTTTTGCCAATGTCCAAGTAAGTGTTTTATTACATTATTCATCATCACGTACTTATATTAATTAGCATTATATGTTTTTGTTAACTTTATTGTAGACAATCTCAATAGATTGTATATGTATTAATTTTAATAAAACAACGTTGACAGTATTCAGTTCATTTAATTATCAATAATAGTTTCTGAAAATTAGTAATTTAAAATTAATCTGCTGCTGATAAACTCGTAAATGTTGAAACCTGAAACCGCTTACAACAACAAGAGATAATTTAGAGTCCCGATATATTGTTTAATATTGTATTATATATAAATCGATTTTATTGATTTTAAGTACAAAGGTGTATAGGTTTAAAGTTAACACCAACATTATAAAAATTCCGAATGATTAAAATTTTTAGATTCATGAAGGAGATGGTCTATCAGATCGGGTATGCACAGCTTGTATGGAAAATTTAAGTACTGCATATTTATTTAAACAGCAGTGTGAGAGAATTGATGCATTAATGAGAAAATTTCCAGGTAGGTTAATCATTCATACATTTCTTTATTCCCAATATTATAAAATGAGATATTTAAATCTTAGCCATGTAATTTACAGATGCCCAGATTGATAAGTCAGAAATCACAAATTACAATGATGTATACAAACAGGAATTTACCATGCATACACAATATATTAATGAAGAAAATGATGAAAATTTGGTCAAAGCGACTCATGACTCGAGCCTTGACTCTAGACTCAGCCCTTGTTTTGAGACTAGTGATGAGACTGATAGTGATATAGATTCAGTTAAATGTGTGTATTGCAGTCAGTCATACAATTACGGTGCCCATACATGTCACGTCACTTGTACGATTGAGCACAATGAACTTCAACAATCAAGCAGCAATGAAACACTTGTAGCCACCGATTTAACACCAACCAAATCAAAAATGCCTGCCATAGACCTGCAAAACGTCAGTGTCTCGTGTGTATTGTGCGATGAAAAATTTCAAAGATACGATGCTTATGTTGTACATTTAAATAAATGCACCACTAATGTTAAACTTCATCATTTCGTGTGTCCCGTCTGCCATGATATGTTTAACGATAAATTAAGGTATCTAGACCATCTGAAAGTAGATCATTTCAAAGAGGATGAATCAATGTCAAGTGACCCTGGAGTTGACTGTGTAGATTTTTCACCGATCGTCGTTAAGACGAGGAAACCTCTGGCTGTTAGACGACAAATTGGTTGGTCTGTTGAAGATATATACCAAGAGATAGATTGTCATAAAATAGAACCAAAACCAAGTCCAGCGGCTAGTCCATTGAAGAATTTCTTTTCGAAGTTGGGGAATGAGTGAGTTACATGGAATGTTGCATGTTTAAGACTTCACTCAACATGCTCAAATCTGCTTCATGGGAATGCTCTAACATACCGCTTAAGTAATTATTTACTATATATATTTATATGGGATCTTTAAAAACTCTCTTATTAACACTAAATTATTTTTGGGGTCTCTTTTTTAAATACTAATCATCTGCATATTATTATATAACAATTTACATATTTCTATTTAGGTCTTTCAGCAGTAAACAAAGTACACCTAAGAAGGTCAGTTTTCGTAAGTTTATTGAAAATGGTAAAGCAAAGACTGCTGTATATCTGCCATTTAAGAAATACATACAGAATTATAAACTTAAAAAGAAGATGTCGAACTACAGCCCTATTAATTCCAAGCAACAAATAACGAGCACAATACAGGCTACCATTCCAGAATATGTTTCAGGTGAAAAAGTGTTTTATTTTTTTTTTAATTTTTAATTCAATATAAAGGGAAAAATTCTTGATAATTATTAATTACCACTAACCAGGGTCCGGTTTCTGTTTCTCTTTGAGAGATTAAATAAATGCTTTGTTATATAAATATAGTGGTTTCTATATAAATAAAGTATCTTGCTTATGTTAAACAGTTATAAGTAGTATTTTTAGACCACAAAGCTTGTTATTTAATTGTTAAAACTGATTGCAGACAGTGATTATGGCTCACCAAGTGGAACATCAGAAGATTCCTGGAAGATGAAACAAACTTTGATATGTGCCTGTGACAAAAAAATCTTCATGCTCTCTGAACACATCCATGTGAGAAATATATAAATATACAGGGTGACTGGTGAATTACTATCGATATTGGAGGACGTGATATTTGACGATCATATATGACAAAATAAAAATTAATATAACATAAATATTAATAAACTTCTAAGTAAAGTTAACCAAAAGTTATGTAATTAATTACGCATCGTATGAACACCCTACAGATTAGGTATACACACACACACATACGCGCGCGGCGGCGTGTTGTTGTATCAGCACGCCGCCGCACGCGTTCACACTTGGAACACTTGGAACGTGTACACACTTTATTTATTTATACGGAAATTTGGTCAAAAATTAAGTACCTATTTTTTTTACATAATTCGAATGAGAATCATGTACCGAGTATGCTCCTTAAATATTGATAGTAATTTACCAGTCACCCTGTATATAAACAGAGTATTTTATAATATTATACATATACTTAAGTACTTAAGGAATATTTGTATGTTACACTAACGTTGAAATAAAATTAAAATTACTTTCTTCTAAAATGAACTGTTGTGTATATACATATACGTTTATGATTGTTACGGTGTGAAGAAATATATATGAAGAATGTAAAATATGATTTATATAAAAAAAAACATTGAATAAATTTTGTATCAAATGGATGAAATTTTTCTTTTACAGGATCGTGACAGAATAGTTGCAATGATAAATGAGCTAGGTGGAGTCGTAGCTGAGAATACTAAAATGGAGATGTTGGCAACACATTTTATTTCAGTGTTGCCAAATGATACATTCACTGGCATGATGGTTTGTTCCTTGGCTACAGGAAAGTGGCTACTGCATATCAGCTTCATCTATGATAGTTTTAGATGCAAGAAGTTTTTACAAGTAAGTTTTATGATATGATGTTGATCTTGTTGTCTAGTTTGGTGATCAATTTGACCAAAATTACACTAAAGAGGACAGAAAAATAGAGATGACAGAATCATTTCATTTCAAATAAAATAATGTTATATTTTTTGGACTTATTACTTATAGCAAAAAATAAATATATGGTAACTGGAATATAATGAATTTTTGTCAATCAATTTTACACTTGTGGTACTACACAACACATTAAACAATTAATTATTTTATAGGAAAATATGTACGAATGGATGAGACATCCGAAAATATTAGAAATTGACAATACCAGCGTCGAAATTTCGAAAGCGGCTGTTTTTTGGCAAATGGAACTACAAACCAAGAATTCTAAATATCCATTTGAAGGAAAACAGATTGTTCTCATCATGAAGAAGAAATATAGACAGTACTATCACATGATATTCAAGAGTCTTAAAGCGAAACCAGTCACTTATGATCCAAGGTATCAAACAAACATATGGGTTTGTTTTAAAAATATACATGTACATGTATTTATTAACTTTATTTATTTTCTAGAACACCTGGAAGTTGCTGTTCTGCGGACTACTGCTTTGTCGACATGAAAATCATTGAAAGAGTCAAATTGCGTTTTTTCTTTCATCACAATGTCCCAGTGTTTCCTTACCAGTATATTCTGGTATACCTCCTTAAGAGAGGAAAAGTGGATGATGAACACAAATATTTACTTCAAGACTGTAGTAAAATCAAAAATGAAGATTTTTTCTTTAACAATACTTATTAGATTATATTTGATGAATAAATAAATATTTTGTTAAGTAAATAATTTTATCCCTATAAACGAAAAGTTAGTTATGTTTCTATCTTATTATTGTTATACGATTTATATTCCAATTAAAAATATATGTATATTTACAAATAAAAAATCTATTAAAATCTAAAACTTTTATTCATTCTGGTTTCACCTACTTGGGGTTTTCGAAAGATTTCTTTGGTATTTCATTTCTAGGGTTTTTACTTTTTGACTTAACCTGAAATTTAATAGCTCATTTTTGTGTTATATGTATAACGAAATTCGTAAATGTAAAAGAAGAATTGGAAGTATCTATTCATTTAAGATATTGTCAAATAACCTTAGTATATAAAGTCCAAACAGCGATAGTAATTATAGTTGTGCCTACCATACCCCAGATTTGATCGACACTAGGAAATACGTCGGCGTCTATTTGAGATACTTTTTCGTTGTCTTTACAACCACAGAAAGATAAAACGCGAAGAAGCATTCTGTCTAAATAATAACTATCAAATTTGATAACTCGATGACCTTATTATTATTGGCAAGTCAATGATATATTTTTAAAAATATTTATAGAACATTATTAGGAATAGGATAAATTTTTCATGGTCACTTATTCATCATCAGTTTTTGCTCAGCTTATAAAACACTTGATAACTTGTTTTAAGTAGAAAATAAAATTAAAAAAAAAACAACATTCAATGTATAAAAAAATCTGTTATCTGTGGGAATTGACAACGAAATGAAGATATTAACATTATTCTAGCCGGCTCACCAGTCAGCCCCGCAAAAATGATTTTTTGGCTAATTTTGACCTCTTAGCTTTTGAGTCGTTTGTTCTTCATTGTACGCTTTTGATGTTTGTCTGTTTGTTTGGTCTAAAAATAATAATAATAATTAAAAATCTACCTTCAAGTTTGCTTCCCCTATTGCAATTATTAATACTATTCCATCCATGATGACCTTCGATTATAGAATTTTGACTGTTCTTGCATATTAGACGATTGGATTATTTGTTTGATTTCTGATTTTAATTCGCAGAATATATTTAAGCCTATTACAGTTTCATTGATCATTTTGATGCACGTATTTGAACACTAGATGAAACTAGAACGCCTTCAAAATCTTTGCATTAGGTTTATTTACGGACTTCAGAAATATGACCATACATCTCATTTTAACAGAAAATTTAAGTGAGTTCGTATTCGTTTCCGTAGGTATACTCACATTCTCGGGGCCGGGGTCGGCGTGGTAACCCGGCTCCAGTGAAAGCCCGGCGTCGTCAGGGCGGTCCTAATTGCCGGGATCGCCACCATACTCCAAGGGAGTAAGTCCGGTCTGTGCCAGGACCGGCCAGTTGCTGGTGTGCCCTGTCGCTGACAGATCCGGGGTACACCGACATAGCGGCGGATGGCTTTCGCAGTGGTTTTAGTGAGTAGGGGCCTGCCCAGGCCGAGCCTCACACATCCCTTCCGGCCCCACCAAGGCCGGCTGGACGGCTCGTAAAAAGAGTTTCCCTGCGTCATCAAAAAAAAATGGTATCCTCACATCCTCTTCCGTTTTTACTGCATAATCTTGAACTCTAACTCTATATACTACTTTAAAAAATGGTTCCAGTTTTTTAGTGATTCTCACAATCGTTCTCTCCACTCTAAACAAAATTTCACTCTCAAAGCTCCCTCTCATTCTTCTTCATCTTACAAGAATTTATTTACTGTCACTGGTATTCAACTTTGAAATAAAGTCCTTTACATATTAAAATTGCGAAGTCAAAAAAGTCATTTAAGCGTTTGGTAAAGATTCATTACCTCAATCTTTGTTAATATGTAATGCGTAAAATAAAATTATATATATACATGTATATAGGCGTCCATGCATGCGACCATGCTTGCATTCGTCCATGTATGAATTTGGCCATAAATGCATGCGACCATGCATCCATTCGTCCATGTATGAATTCGACCATACATGCATCGTCCATGCACGCATCCGTCCATCCATCCATCTATCCATGCACTATCTTCACTTACTTATATCTCCCTATCACTTTCATTCGCCTCGCTGATCACATTTTCGTAACGCTTTCATAATCTTATCCCCAAGCGTGCGTAAAGTTTTACTTCAAAAATCTTTGCTAAAACTCCCACTATTTAAATAAATACGCGGTCGGAACTCGGTTGTATCCTATAATAATAAAATTTATGCACCATTTGAAAAGGTCTATGAACCTACATAAGATAGAAAAAGAACAAAAAATATAGTTATTATTTCTTTAATTTATTTATTCTTAATGTCAACACTGTATTGTCAAAGCGGGGCTTACCCTCATTCCATAGATTGTTATGCATTATATTTTCCATCAAGTATATTATGTCGAGCTGACAAGAGATGTTAAGTGTTAGTTTTACTGCGGACTACTAAAATCTAAGATAAACATTTTAAGTGTTGAGTAATAAAGAACTTAGTGAGTTTTTTGAAATATCTAATACATTTTAAACGCAAAATGGGAGGCTGCTGTTCATTAGAGGTAACGGAATCTTCTTAATTTTAATATTATGAAAATTTACACAATTTTATATGAATAAGTCCTTTTAATAGTTATTTACATTCCGTTTGTTGTACACTAAATATTTCTTTCGAGAGTTCCGTACTATTTGTTACATGTCATTCTAAGTTTACGAGGGATTCGCATTTCGTCAACAATAAATATCATCTATGTAACTTATAATAGGAAAATCGTAGCCAAGGTCGCACTATCGGTAATATATATAATATTATAGGTATATATACATCTACTAGTGTACAAAGATCTAAGTATTACTGTGGTTTTAATTATCTTTAAATGTGACATAACAATTTTATTTATAATTATTTTTAAATGGGATATGATTCCCTTATATTAATTTAATGTTTTTCTGTATAGGGTCGTTTTATTTCAAGTGAAATTAAAAATTTGGACAAAACTTAATATTGAACGGTTTTAAGTGCTTTTCTAATATGTATTACAATTTTTTTGGCATATACAATCTTGACAAAGGCGTTTAAGAAAACAATTCTGTTATTTACCCTTTTTGATAATCACTTCTATGATTAAACTAGAAATTGAAAATGCTATTAAAGTAGAAGTTTGGTCAGACCTTTTTTCAATGTATTTGATTTGAAAGTTCCTTAATAAATTAAGTATGTAATTTTTTTTATCTAATACGGTTTCCTGGTGTGAGCAGTTAATAATAGATTTACACTCTGTATTAACCATAGCTATTAAATATTAATTTAGTAATAGAATGAGTACATTTTGAGATAGATAATCAAATCAACCAAAATAAATGAAACTGTAAATAAAAAATATGCATATTAGAAACATTACAACTGAATAAACTAACTGAACTGGTGAAATAACGATTTCAAATTCAATTTTCATAAAGTTATCATTCTTACATTAATTGCCACAGCCAATATTACCTTTTATATCTTACTAGATTTCCGCCCGCAGCTTCGCCCGTGTGGAGTTCAGTTATATCGCGTTTCCAAGAGAACCTTTCAAAAGTCTGGGATAAAACCTATTCTATGTTCTTTCTTAAGGTCGACTCTATTTCTGTACCAAATTTCATTGAAATTAGTTCAGTGGTTGAGGCGTGAAAGCGTAAAAGACAGACAGAGTTACTTTCGCCTTTATAATATTAGTAGGGATTACTTCCTCTAGGCGTATCTAATACCTAATACTATTTTTTTATGCTATGGCATAATTAAATACTCTAGTACATTAGTTTTTTATGTTTATAAAGATATTATTTAGAAATAATGACATCCCGCCTGATTAGTGTGAGATGTCTTTGAATATGTTTCTAACTTTACAAATTTCGCCATATGCTATTGCTGAAACTCAATGAGTAATGTTTTCGTATCTTATTTCGGGTGGGATCAATATTTAATTTCCTATATTTTAGCATAGTATAAATACTGAAATTATTAGGACTTTGTAATTTGCTATATACAGCAATGCATTGTTGAATGAACACATTCCTATAACACACGCCTTAAGATTTTTCCAAAATATAATATAGCAAGAAAGGTTTGTTTTCTACTCCTTTCATTGGGTGTTTCTATATGTAGTTATTAAGGTGGATGCATTTGTTATAGGATTCTTCAAGTGATTCATATACAGGGTACTCGCGACAGATAATAACACCTGTAGCAGAACCAACACGAAGGCAAGCTCAATTCATAGCAACTCGAAGACAACCTCAATTCATAGCAACACCAAGACAACCGCAATTCAAAGCAACACCAAGACAACCGCAATTCAAAGCAACACCAAGACAACCGCAATTCAAAGTAACACCAAGACAACCGCAACCAAGACCAAAACCTGAAATAGACGAGTCACAATTTGGCGAATTTCGATGTACACTTTGTGGTCGTTCTTGGAAAAGCCTTCGCTGCTGGCCAAATAAGTATCAAATGTGCAAAAACTGCAAGAAACCAGTTTATCCAACCAATTGTGTAAGCATTAAAGTGATGTTAAATCACATATTAATATATTATTTTATATTTAATAATAGTCTTGCTGTTACAGAGAGAAACACATTCTTCCGATTTTACTTCGGATACAGATGATGCAAAGGAGCATGAGAGAGACCTTTGTCAAATGTGCCAACAGTTGGGATATTCTTGTAGGAATTTTCGTCGTGCAAAAAGGATTTTTTAAATAAAAAATATGTTAACAATGTTGAAATGATATCAAGAAGTTTGTAAGTCTTTATTCTGCAACCATTTTATTATTGAACAGATTGTTTATCATGCCCATAAATATTTCATGTTTGAATTTGTTATGCAAACATTGCAATATATCATATTCTATAGTTTCTTTTTTCTCAGCAATGTAACTAAATAGTGGTAACATTACATTTTTCACTTCTTCCACATAATTTTCCTCAAGATAACTATCTATTATTGCAAATTTGTTGATAACAAAACTGATGTCGCTATCCTTCAATGGTAATGTAAAGAATTTATACTGAAAATAATATTTTTTTTGATTAATATACATTTTAATATTATATAAGATTAGAAACATTTAAAATGATATAAATTTTCTTGCAATTTTGCTTTTAAATTATACTATGTATTAGTATAATAATAATGTTTATGCTTTTACAGTAATTTGAAATCTTAAAATGAACTCCAATTTTCTTATCTCATTACTATTAATTTACTATGAAATTAGTATATTGTAATCCAAAATCTATTTTAATTTAACTTAATTATACATACCCTTATAATTGCAATATAATTCTTAATGCAATAAATTAGACATGCTCCAGATTTATCAGTGTGATTTACTTTTTCTGCCGTACAAAGTAAAATGAGAGCTTTATGAAATATATCTAAGATATTCTTGTAACCAAATACTAATAAGCTGTCAAAAATTTGATACCACTCTTGAAGTATTGTAGAGCTTATGATCTGAAAGAATATATGTAAAATTATTTTTTTAAACATTTATGCATAGAAATGGTCTATATAGACCATTTCTGTCTATATAGTTTTAAGGCTATTTTTTTGTTATACAACTAAAAATATAAAATGATATCATAATATTGTGTATTATTGTATATAATTAATAATAAGTTTTACCTGAGATAACCATACCACTAAATGTTCTAAGTCCATATCTTTGTGTATGTGTATGCCGCTTATGACTTCAACAAATGTATTACCTGGTGGATTCCATAACAATCTGAAGTAATACATGTTTAAAGGGTTTATATTTCTCAATTTACTTTTTAACCATACAGATTCATTTTCTGTAATGAAAAAAATACTGTTTGTAATACGAAATGACTATTTGATAAAGAATAAATCATTTATAATTACCTGGGATGTTTGATTCATATGTATTTAGTAATGCGGTTTGTAATTGTATGACAAGTTCTAAAGTAGGGGGTGCTATAGATGTAAATGTATTTATTTTCCATCTAACTGTATCGAGTACTTGTGCGAGCATAGCCAGAGTAGGGGCTCTGTACTGTACTAACTCATTTAAGGAATAAGCTTCCTGCAATAGTTTGCATTGTACACATATTTGCTCGATATTCTTCTTTAAAAGACCAGTGTGTAAGTTTGGCATTATCACCAACAGAAGAAGTTTTGGTCCAGGAATACTGCTGCTTTTTATGCATGTTAAAAAATGAATAAAATTGTTCCTTTTTACTTCAGAATCTAAACCAGATATGATTCCATTTATAGTTGATATTATAGAGGACTCTGTTTCCTCAGTATAATAATGCTTGGAGAATTTGTCCAAGCTTTTCATCACCTTATTCATAATATCTGCCTGATGGATATTTTCACTTGCAAGGGAGAATATTTTGTGATATACCTTTTTAGGATTTTGTAGTAGTAAACACAAGATAACTGAGAAATCTTCATCGGAACTTATGATAAGTTTATTGAAAATCTCAGTTTCCATACTGTGATACTCCATAGTTTCTAAAGAATTGTTAAATGTTTCATTACTGAAATGATTTTCTACTATGTCATATTTTATATTTCTATCACATTTTTGAAATAGTTTTAAACACAGTAACTTAAGGAATTCGTCAGCATCTTTTTGATCTTGAATAAACTTATTAAACATTTGGAATAATTTATAACATTCTTCTTCATTCAGTTCTTCTAAATAATTTGACAACTGCTCAAGAAGTAGATGTTCCACACATAATTTATCTCTATATAATAAAGCTTTTATCCACTGTGACCTATCATCTGCCTTATTTATATTTTCAATTATAACATTAATATCAGTTTTATTTATAACATCTTCCAAATTCATAGGTTTAGTAGAGATTTGCTGCAACATATTAAGCACAGGATGTTCTGATATACTATTTATTTTATTCAGAGTTTCTGTGACTTTATAACACAGTTCTCCAATCTTTTGTTGCATGCTTTTACCATCCTCTTCATATTCTGTCCATGCACAAAAAATGTCGACACTGACATACATCACTAGTGTCTGACAGACATCTAAAAAGTCTATGTGACTTTTGTCTAGGTATGTTGTGAGAGTGGTTTGATTGCAACTGGTCAGTTTTACAACATCCTCTTTATCTTTTAAAATTTCTTCTTTGAAAGTTAACTCGTATATGTCTTGGAAATCTGCAGATTTTCTTTTTTGTTCAGTGGTGAAGAAAGTGAAAATATCTATTGCCAATAAAAGTACTAAATGAAGACGGTCTCCAATAAACTTATATTCACCGTCTCTACTTAGCCTATTTAATTTATCACTGTTGGGAAGATTTACCCAAAACTGTATACATTTCTGAAAGTAATTAAAGGCTTCCTTAATTTCGTTGTCTTGAATATTAAAAAACGCTAGTCTTGCTAAAAGCTTATAGCAAGCACTAGTTAATATTTTTAATTTGGACAAACACTCAGTTGGTTCAAAATATTTGAAGTTCTCTATAAAAGCTGCCGCTACCTCTAAACCTAAGTAGGGGGAAGAATAAACTATGATTTCATAAATGAAATTTTCCATATTCAGTTTCCATAAAATTTCACACATTAGACATCTTTTTATTGTTGGAATTGTCCAAATAACAAAGTCTATACCATCTAAGTCAACCAATTCTTCTAATATAGAGAGGTCTGAATTTAAAACAATATAAAAGGCAAATTTCCGCAATATTTGCACATATTCCTCATTAATTGTTTTTTCCACTATGTAATTCTCTTTAACTAGAAACTTACGAATACACTCAATGATGTATTCTATTTTCTTCTCATTGCCTGAAATAAATATTTTTATGGTAGTAATCTAGTTAGTGAGATGAAATAAAAGTACGATATTGTTTATCAAATTGTATTTACCTCCCTTCGCAGCTAACTTAGAAAAAGAATGGACACTATCAGCAGATATGAATACACCTTGCAAAGTTGAAAGAGCTGGAGTAAATTCCATTGTGTTAAATAAATATTTACTAATAATCTTCAACTTCCGAAACTGCCGATTTAAATTAATACTTTCAGATGTAATGTATGTATTGAAGTTTAAATTTTATGACATGCACGGCTGGACATTGACATTTACTTATACAATACTTAATTTAACGAAAATGAAATGCAGATGGGAGGAATTTTTTTTTATATTTTAAGTATAATAATAGTATTAAATTAAAAGTAATAAAAGCAATACATAAAACTTTTCAATAACAATTTACAAAAAAATAATTTTTACCTCGACATAAGCATGGTTTGAAAAACAAGTTTCATTCCCTGAACCCCAAAATCACTGTTGAATGAATTAAAATCGATCAACATGACGGTAAGTCTTCACCTCTGATGAATTTCCTAACATTTGTTTCCAAGCCAAATTCGATGAATCTACTTTTACGACAAGGGCAACAAGTCTTGCTGAAGGCAACAAGAGTTGTTAATAGAAAATGATGTTGATTAAATGGGCTAACTTTCTTACCACAACAGTATCTTGATAATAATCATTCTGCGATATTGACTAATTCGGAAGCTTCTTTCTCAGTTTTTAGATCTTTCAGCATCAATACTTAAATTTTGTTTTTTAATACATGATCTGTTGTAAAAATGTTCACGTACATAAAAACAATTTTCAGCGACCTTTCTTTGCGTATCGTTTAAGAAGATGATTTTACTAATAGACACTTATAGATAGATTAAAAAATTACCAAAACATTTTTTATACGCTGCAAGTTCGAAATCGTCTTTTAAATTACGGGACATGGTTTTAGTTACAATCTTCTCTCCCGAGATAAAACTTACAGTTTTTTTTTTTTTTTTTATTATTCTTTATTGCACAAACAGAGGTGTACAAAGGGCGGACTGGTTTTATGGCCATATTAAAAATATTAGATATGGGAAGTACATGCAATCGCTTTAGGCTAAAGTTTTAGACTGATATTAACTGTCTTTATTTAGATAAGATTTGTGCAAACATAATTTTCAAGGGATTTAGAGTGTCAGAAAAAAAATTTTGCTCATTTTAAGTGGGCTTAGAATTGACTAACTAGATTCTGACTACAGGGTGACTGGTGAATTACTATCGATATTTGAGGGCGTGATATTTGACGATCATATATGAGAAAGTAAAAATTAATAATATAAATATTAATAAACTTCTAAGTAAAGTTAACCAAAAGCTATGTAATTAATTACGCATCGTATGAACACCCTACAGATTAGGTATACACACACACACACACACTCTTGGAACGTCCACACTTGGAACACTTGGAACGTGTACACACTTTATTTATTTATACGGAAATTTGGTCAAAAATTAAGTACCTATTTTTTTTACATAATTCGAATGAGAATCATGTACTGAGTATGCTCCTTAAATATTGATAGTAATTCACCAGTCACCCTGTATATTGCTTCAAGTTTATCTGAGTAACTTTCTCTTCGAGAATCATATATTTGCTTATTGATACAGAGACTATCTAATAAGAAAAGCAAATAAAAGTAACTATAACTATATAAACAACTAGCTGACCCGGCAAACGTTGTTTTGCCATGTAAAAAAATAGGGTTGGTGATAAAAAAGGAAAAACTTTGGGTTGTATGTATTTTTTAATGCTACATTATAAAAAAATTAAAACTAAAACTTCGTCCGAAAATAAAAAAGAAAGATAAATTTAAGGGTGAACAACTCTTATGACTTAGGGGTATGATGTTGGCCGATTCTCAGACCTACTCGACAATATGCTCACAAAATTTCATCATAATCGGTCTAGCCGTTTCGGAGGAGTTTTCTGTCTAACACCGCGACATGAGAATTTTATATACAGGGTGTATGAAAAACTGTGTCAACCCTCTTAACTACGTTATCAGTATCGATAATGTAACACAATAAAACAACTTACATTTACAAACTCTTCAATAAAAATAATAAAATTAAATGATTATTATATGTAGAGTAACAAAATGTTTGTAAACCCTGGTATAACACGATGACACGCAATGACGTCATCACAGCTGCTGCGTTACTAGTGACGACCTTGAAGTTACTTTCACATTATTGAAAATATCGATATTTAAAAAATCATAACAATAAATAAATATTATTTCGATACTTATTTTGATATATCAAACATTAATATTATGTTTGATTGTAAAACACCATTTTTAACAGAAATAGATTAACGATTTATCCTAATAATACAACATATGTAGTTAATTTACCTGAACAAGTTTCAAATTATAATATTTATTATTAATAAAAGTTATTTTAAATGAAATTATTTTAATGTGAAAAGCATAACTATTTATAGCAATATTGAAAATGTCGATAGAATATTTATCGATATAACTAATTTTTACACTTTCAAATCTCTATTCGAACAACTAACAGAAAAGTAATAATAACGCCAGCGGCCCGGCGCCTGCGGTCAATGGTCACGCATGCGCCGTTGCGACTATATGGTGTCTTGACCTTGTATGAGTCAGATGTTTGAAACATTTCTTCGAATAAAGTCGATTTAAAACTTATTTAGACTATGCACTGTAACTGACGTCTGCTTGATATTTTTTAAGTTATACTATTTTTTATAATAAGCTTATACTTATATGTATACATGCCTTCAAGGGTTGACACAGTTTTTCATACACCCTGTATATACTAGCTTTTGCACGCGACTTCGTCCGCGTGGAATAGTGACTTCCGGCAGATTTTTGGTTCTTCCCACATAGTTCCGGTTCTTGCGGGATTTTCGGAATGGTCGAGTTCCCGCAGAATTTTCAGGATAAAACCTACGTTTTTTTTTCGAGTTCCAAACTATATCTGTACAATTTTTATGGTAAATTTAATTATTTTAAAGAACTTCTGCATATACTAAAAAAAAGTGTTATTATTGTGAAACTAAATACTATCGTAAAACAAATACAGTACCTACTATATAGAAAACAACTACAAAATGAAACTGTGTTTAAAAAGTAATATTACGATGATAATTATGTCGCATAAACAAATTAGCGCTGCATTCAACCGTTCAGTATGGAGCCGACCGCGGCGGCGGGAATGAGCCGCGCGGCACAGTGTTTCCACTAGAACGATTTCTTTTTCCTACACTTCAATTCAGATTTCCCCTTCTACGGACTTTTTTCCCCTCAAAAATTATTTTGCTGCAATTTTGACACCACACGCCACACCTAAAATTTATCGTATTTGTGTTTTATTTGCAGACTGACCAGAAATATAATAAAAACAAAAAATGTAGTTGTATACTCATTTTTTATTCCAAATCAGTTAACGCTGTCAGCGCATACATTTTTGCACAAAATAATATTTTACGTCTCCTCCTCAAAACCCTAATTTATCTTTGATTTCCCCAATTTCCCCTTTTATAGTCTTTCCCCTTTTCTTTTCCCTCTTGACCCTAATTTCCCCTAAATATCCTAATTTCCCCTCAATGCGGAAACACTGGCGCGGCATGGTATCCCGTATCTCTCGGAGCTACACCGGGGGGTGTAGCTCCGAGAGATACGGGATACGGATCCCGGCTTGCCCGCAAGCACCGCCTCTCTCCCGCCGCGCCGGCCAGCGCAGAGAGCGAGTTGGTTTTGTTTCGGAGTTATTTATCATTGTAATCTTTAAAGTTTTTTGTTGAAATTAAGTTATGTCAAAGACAATTTTATTCACAATAGACATTGTACGCAGTGCATGCGCAGTTCAGCTACGCACAATCAACATCGCGACGCGATGCAGCGAAACGCTTAGTTTATTTTTAAGTTATCCAAATTTTTAAACTCGCTATATCTTTTGAATGGAGTATCCGATTAAAATAATTTAAACAGCAATATAAAGGTATTGAACTACTGTTAAATAAAAAGTAAGTTATTTAGATAAGTATAAATACCATGGTATGAATATCGACATCTTATTTTCGTTGCCGATTTAAATAGTTTGTTAAACTATAAAAGTTTTTATATTGGCGTAACTATAATACTTAGATATACACTACCACGGACTTTTATGTAGATAATAATACGGTCAACAAAATCGTAGTACATACATTATTTTGCTCCATCATCAATAGTTATTGCAGCGCACGCGGTTTAAAGTATTTCAATAGTGATTTTTATCGACCGTGGTTTATGTTATCGAAGTTTTCGTAAGGATCAATAATTTTTTTCAAAATAAAATATAGCCTATGTTACTTTGGAAAGATGTACAATCATAATGGTGAAAGAATTTTTAAAATCGGTCCAGTAGTTTTTGAGCCTATTCGTAACAAATAAACTTTATAATATTAGTTTAGATTAAGTTATATTTGCAGTTGCTGTTACCACAGATAATTTGTAAAAAAAAAGAAAGGACTTATATAAACGATGGTCAAAATGGGGAACGGTTGCAAAAGAATTTCACCCTGTTGTGTTTAATAGATTGAAACTAGTGACGTGCTGCATAATGATTTCATATACTAACAGTTGATTAATTTATTAACAGTGGATTTACTAATTAGTCAATATTTTTAGCAGGTTTTTCTTATCCTAAACCACGAAGGGTTAATTACCTCTATAAGACTTCGCTCAGTGAAACAGATTGAATAAAGTTTTATCAGCATTTTAGCGATAATAATTTTTTAATGAATTATCACGGCATATTAAAACCTATAGTTACGAGCTAGGGTTTGATCACGGTTTCATAGCAAACACAAATATTCACTTTATTATACTCCTAGGTAATCGTTTGTTTGTCGCTTTTCGAAATATCGATTCAAAACCAACCTATTCACAACAATCGGATTACTAGAACATTCCAAAGCATTCTCATTTATATTTCTAATTCTTTACAAACATTTACAAAGTAAGCGTTTAGCTAATAGTTCGTCCACTCGTCACGAGATGGCGCTGCCTGTCAATGTTGAAAACATTCTACATTATTCGTTAAGGCGATGATTAAGCCGGTGGGGCACTATGAATATATTGATTCATAAATATTCTGAGAAAATTAAGCCTATTTTGCCATTTATTGTGGAGTTTTTTTGATAGCTATATATTTTTTAATCATGTAGATTTAAGACTATAACTATAATAAACTGGTAATTATTGGTGATGTTACAATAAATAAAAACCGTGTGTAATAGTTATTTCTTAATTTAATTAAAGTATTGAGATTCTTTTTAGCACTAGAAAATCTTGGATCGATTTTCAAAGCCTTTCTATACATTCCTTCCGCTAATTCATACTTCTTCCAACGATGATAGAGTACTCCTGGAACATATTATATCAATACTATACATTAAAAATAATATTTCAATGAAGCCAATGATTGTTTTTATATCGTGACTATGAGTTATAAAATGCATATATAAGAAGTCGTAAAACTGTAGCAAAGATGGACTATATATGTATAAAACGTATAAGAATCGTCAATAACCATTGTTCATAATAGTTTTAATGTAAGTCTAACTGTTAAGTCGAATGTCTAGTTATAAATAATTATTTTCATTGTGTTATTGTTCATATTTTTTCTTAGTTAATGTCAGGACCACTCACCTAGATTCGCAAAGTGTATAGCTTGTACTCTATCACCAAACAAATTGATGGCTTTCTTGAAGTACTTTTCCGCTTCAACATAGTTGTCTATTTTGCCGTAAATATTTGCTATAGCGAAATTAATTGACGGCATCTCAGACACAGCTAAAAGTGCTTGTGGTATTATCTGTAACGCTTTGTTAGTTTGCCCTGAAATTTAATTAATGTCATATAAATATAGTATTAAAATTTATTGCCATATAAAAAAAATATTTTACCTGTATTATCTAAAAGAGCCAGTAGATTTGTCCAAGCAGATACATGTTTGGGATTCAAATTGATTGCTCTGTACCAACTATCTATTGCCTCTTTTGTTTTGTTCATTTCTAAGTACTGAAAAAATATATTGACATGTTACTAATAAATTATTTATTTATATAAAAGTATTATATAAATAATTATGAATAATAACTAGTTGATAGCCGTGACTTCGTCCGCGTTTTTTGATATTTTAACAATTTTTCTTATGTGCATATAATAGGACACATTATTGAATACATAGTGCTCATAAAATTAGTTGTTTTTTAAAACTTTTATAACTTTATACAAAAAGGAAATAACAGAATAAAAATTAAACTTCTATCATTTTCCATATATGATTGTTATATATATACAGGGTGACTGGTGAATTACTATCAATATTTAAGGAGCATACTCGGTACATGATTCTCATTCGAATTATGTAAAAAAAATAGGTACTTCATTTTTGACCAAATTTCCGTATAAATAAATAAAGTGTGGACACGTTCCAAGTGTTCCAAGTGTGGACGCGTGCGGCGGCGTGCTGATACAACAACACGCCGCCGCACGCGTATGTGTGTGTGTGAGTGTATACCTAATCTGTAGGGAGTTCACACGATGCGTAATTAATTACACAACTTTTGGTTAACTTTACTTAGAAGTTTATTAATATTTATGTTATATTAATTTTTATTTTGTCATATATGATCGTCAAATATCACGTCCTCAATATCGATAGTAATTCACCAGTCACCCTGTATATATATATAGTACTAACCAAGTTTCCCATATTATAGTAACAGTCAGGATATTTTTTTCGATATTTCAAAGCAGTTTTGTAGGCTTTATCAGATTCTTCATATCTCTTGGTGTTAGCCATCACTATGCCGAGGTTCATCCAGGCTGCTGGGAAGTCTTGTCTGAAATTTTTAATTATTTGTATGGGTTTTTTTATTCACAAAATTAGAATAGATAAAATATATTTAGGTCCTTTTTTAGTTCTGGTATTGATCTTGATGGGGTTCTAATCATAGAAATGACAGTATTTTTTATTAAATAATAATATAATATTTGGGATTATATACAGGGTGACTGGTGAATTACTATCGATATTTGAGGACGTGATATTTGACGATCATATATGACAAAATAAAAATTAATATAACATAAATATTAATAAACTTCTAAGTAAAGTTAACCAAAAGTTATGTAATTAATTACGCATCGTGTGAACACCCTACAGATTAGGTATACACACACACACACACACACACACACACACACACTCGCGCGCGGCGGCGTGTTGTTCTATCAGCACGCCGCCGCACGCGTTCACACTTGGAACACTTGGAACGTGTACACACTTTATTTGTTTATACGGAAATTTGGTCAAAAATTAAGTACCTATTTTTTTTACATAATTCGAATGAGAATCATGTACCGAGTATTCTCCTTAAATATTGATAGTAATTCACCAGTCACCCTGTATATAGCTGGGAAATTGCCAGATAGAAGAAGAATAATATAATATTAGAAACCTCTTTTTAATAAGGAGCATTATTTTATATATAAAAAAAAAATCTTTTTCAAAACCTAAGTATATGCATATTTTACAACTAAAAAGTTCAAAATAAGTCTATATCTTTATTTACTCACTTATAGTGTAAAGCTTTCCTAAGATATAGTTCAGCTTCAGAATACTGATTTTTATTTTTCAATAAATTTGCCAAATTGTTCATCGCTTGATAATATTCAGGATACAATCTGCAAGTTATATAAATTATTAACTCTACTTTTTACATCCGAATTCATTCTTTTATGAAATAAAATAACGATTTGATATCTACATTCTTTTATGTTGTATATATATTTCTTTGTATACAACATAAAAGAATGTAGTATTGTATGTATAGAAAATCGTTTTATGAAAAAAAAATCATGTTTAGTAGTTTAGTGTGAATGGATGATTGTAAAACAAAAGTGTATTTGACTACAATAACAATTCTTAACAAAATTGTTATTATAAATATTTTTTGGGTACCAAATTAACTGAAACAGCATTTAAAGCCATTATTCATTACATTTATGTTTCACCAAGTGATTAGACTTATTTGATTGGTTACAAGTGACATTTGAAGTGTCCTCAGGTTTTTGGCGGTTCTATTTATCATTTAAAGTTTGGTTCTAAAAAATAAATTAAAATAAACAAGTGTGTTTTGTATTGAACAATTTTAAATATATTGTATATAGTATTGAACATAATTTTATGTTTGTAAGTAAGTATTACCTTATTGCTTCTTTATATTCTGCCAGAGCCCAGCTGTTATTTTGTTTTGCATCAGCTACTTTAGCTACATTGTAATGTACTTTAGCATTCAATGGACACACACTCAGTGCGTTTGTGAACAAGTCATATTCATTTGTCCAATGAAATGATCTATTCCAACTTTTCAGTGAATAAATTAACACCATGGTGTAAAAACCACAAATAACCACCTGCAATTATGTATATATGTTATATACATTAATGAAATATACATATATTGTTAGTCAAATCCAACGAAACAAGATAATTTTTGTAAACAAACTGTTATAATAACTACAGATTGCTCTGTGATATATGAGCCTCTATATTCTAAAAAGTGTATGATTTTTTAGTTAATTTCTTAATTTATTATAAATATGTACTTCACTGACCTTTCTATTGATCTTCCTAACTATTTTGTTAGCTCCAATTGCTATCAAAAAACAATATCCAATAGATGGTATGTATAATATTCTTTCAGCTATAACAAAGCCAACCGGATACACTATATTTGAAGCCGGGAGAAATGGGAGTACTATAAGAACTATTGACATGATTAATAATCTGAAATAATTCATACAAAAATTATGTTATATATCTAATACATTGACAGTAAGATTATATTAGTATTTTAATAGTATACAGAAAAAAATATTCCTAAGAAAACAAAAATGGCTAAATTAAAGTTCATCTTAATACAAAACATATAAAATTTGAATGTACCTTGCCTGAGAAAATGAATGATTTCTGTGTGTGATAATAAATTTAACAAATAATACTGCATACATATATAAAATTACTGGCAGTAATATTCTAAAATCGAGAATATTTCTTATAAGCGGCACACATCCCATTGACCAGTCGTAGCACAACCACTGTGGCCAAACTAGGAGCAGGAAATTTAGAAAATATATATAATTATATGTAGCTACCTGAAATTATACAGAAAAAAAGGCTTACAAAGGTTTTATATACATTTCAATTCAAATAATTATAGTATATTTTTATTTCTTGTTTACCTTTGTGACTAAACTGTCCGAAAATGCAGCAGGGTTATCTGTCGGTTTGAATTCTGGCGTACTTTTGCCCATTATTATCCATCTCATGTAAAGCAAAATGATTGCAGAGGCAACAACACAAATCATTCTACAAGCACATTTGATATTAACATGTATATTTTTAAGACATGTGTACTCATTTAATTTCTTCTTATTGTTGCTCTTATTTATGTTGCACAATAAATCATACATACAAGAGACACCCTGAAAAATAATTATTGTTCTTGCCTTAATTTAGTTTATTCAATACAAAGTGTGAAGTTATAACAATTACTTACCAGAACAGTTATTCCATTCTCTTTAAAGAACATGGAAGCACTTGCTATTAATAAACTTAAAAATAAATAAATATAACTGTCAGTCTTTATAGATTTATCATAAATTAGGAATGATAGAAGGAATGTTAATGCAGACAACAAGTCCGCTCGTCCCACAACACCACAAACTGCTTCCACATGAATAGGATGAACTCCGAACATCAAAGTGGCTATTACAGGCACATTAAGTGTACTTGATATAACATATTTTCCTTTAAACCTTTCCCATATGCAACTATAAGTTCTCCAGACTAATAAACAGCAAGCAACATGGCATATAAGATTAGTGACTTTAAATTGAGTTGCAATCAAATTCTTGTTGCTTAAAAAGTAATTCAGTCTGCAAATAAAATAAAAGTTAACAAATATTGAACGTTATTTTAAAATTGTATAATAGAAATATTTTAAAGTATTCAATTGAAATTACCTGTAAGTGAGTATTGTTAAAGGCCGGTAAGACTTATGACTGAGATTACTCTTGATATTCGTTCCCCAAAAATCATTATAGAAGGGTTGTAGCCATGAATCAGAGCTGATATCCTTATTTTTAACTATAGCTTCGGAGTCATCGAAAACAAAGTCTCCTTGTAAACTAAACATAAAAGGTATACTTGATACGAACGTGATATAAAAAATTTCTTTAACCATAATGAAATAAAATTATATCGAACTTTAGAACTATAAATTTGGAGAAACTATCATTTAAGACCTGACACCAAAAATAATCTCATTCTTTACTTGTTGATATAAATATTGAATACTATTATTCTATTTATTATTTACTTATAATGTTATTAAATAAGTCAAAATTCAAATAAGACATATTGTCAAATTTTAACATCTGATTTTGACATACTTAAGTATTTTAGGTAACATTCTATAAGTAATTTTTTTAAGCTATGGCTTCATTCTAAAGAAGTTAATTATTAGGGAAGTGAAAAAAGTCAATATGAAATGTTACAGGAGATCATAGCATAAGCAACAAATTGGTCATGAGAGTTTTCTTTTATTTTTAATATTTATATTATCTATATAGGATGGATATTGACTTAATTAAAGAAAAGTATTAAAAATCATTCATAATGAAATTATTTTTTGTAGAATGTTTTGAAAATACAGTGTAAACTCCATGACTTCACTCGATTTAACGACAAACTCTCTAAAGCATCGAAATCATTTGACTTTGGTTAGTTTAGCTTGGCTACCATACAATGATACACTCTAGGTACATAGCATCACACCCACTCTCAATAACGACAACAATTAAGTAATAAAAAGTACCTTTTAAGTTGCTAAAATTATTAAAAACTGCGCAGCTGTGTACGTTCTTTTGTCGCTTTGTTATCCTAGCCCGCAATAAACTCGACTGTCGGAATCTTGCCTTCTAAGAAATTCGTTCTTTTGTTTACAAATTGGGATAGCTTACACGTGTCGACGGTTTTTGACCATAAGTAGGAGTCTTGGATTACCTATACGTTATCATAACCTCAGTTGCTCACAAAATCTCAAACTGTAAACATGGCTAGTAAAAGAAAATCATTGTGTGTTGACGAAAAAGTTTTACTGATACGCGCAATAGAAACGGGAGAGAAGATAAGCGATGTTGGCAAACGCTTTGGATTTAGTCGCTCTACCGTGTCTACAATATGGAAAAATAAAGAAAAAATTCTCCAAGCTGAGGGCGAGGGGAGATCTTCTAAAAAATTAAAGATACCTAAATACGAAGATTTGGATCAAGCTATACTATCATGGTTTAACCGACAGCGCCAGAATAATATGCCTATCTCGGGGCCCCTCGTGAAAGCTAAGGCGAAGAATTTTGCTGAAGAACTTGGATTAACTTCTTTCAAAGCATCGGAAGGATGGCTCGGAAAATTCAAGCAACGTCATCATATCAACTATGGTAAAATTCGTGGGGAAGCACGAAGTGTTGATACGAATGTGCCTAAGCCTCCGCCGAGCATTAAAGAAGCTTTGGAAGCAGCTAAATTATTGGAAAATTATTTCCTTTATCACCAAGATGCCTTAATGTCGCAAGATATAAATAAAATAAGAAAAAAAATACAACAACATTACTGGTGCAGCAAAAGACGTCAAGCAAAAATAACAGATTATACGCAATAGCGTCCAAATAACATTTTTTTTTATGTACATAAGTACTAAAACTAGTCTGAAATAAACTTTGTCTTTTTCTAATTTTGATTTTTCTTCTCTCTATTTAACGACAACTGTCTATAACGCTATAAAATGCAGGTCCCTTCAGTGTCGTTATATAGAGTTTACACTGTATTGCCGTTTTTATTCATTGTAACGTAAATTATAAATCATATAATTTTAATTAAGGCGTCTAGAAATATACAAAGTTTGTCTAACGGAATAATGGCTCAATTTAAGACTCCAAAAAAATATAAATTACTTATAAACACAAAAAAAAGGATAAAAACTACCTAGTCTTTTCATATAGAGTAAACGAAATGACGAAACTTATATCACATGACTTTAAACTCAAATCCATTCTTATTTTACAGGTAAAAGAGGATAATAAAATAAAAGTATTTAGTAAATTAATATTTTAATGCGACATAGATGTTACAGTAAAGTTGGCATCCAGAGGTTGTAAACTATGTTTCACGTCTAACGCAGTTCTGGGGTCTCTTAGGGCGGCGGCAGCGTGAGCCAGTTGTAAAGCACATTCTGGTGGGGCAGTGGGGGGAAGCGTTGTACATTCACGTTCTAAGGCCGTGCTCACACATGTGAGTAACTCTGAGAAGCCGAGTGAGATGGCTGCTCTACGAAGACGATTTAATTCCTGGTTGAAAAAAAACAATAAATAGATTATAGCTCTTATGAATTAGATTATAGGTTTTAAATAAATACGTAATTCACTTAGTGATTGTTGTTATTATTATACATTATATAAATTTTGTCTAGTTCATAGATAAGATATAAATAGATAATAGATAGCTGTTTCAATTTACTATATAAATTTTCAATGCTAAGATACAAAAGAAGTGAAACTACAAATAAAAATCCCTACGCCAATTCCTCAGAAGTTACTGTATAAATCAGTATAAATACAGAATATATGTTTTCAATAAGTGGACAAACCTTATACAAATGTTGAGTCTTATCGGGTAATTTCCTAGCATGTCGCAATACTTTTTGAACGTCCGCCAACAATGTGTGTGGTCTCGCCCAGGCGTAGCCGGAACCGCCGCTGTATGATCGCCATGAACGAACGGGAAATGTTTCCGCTGTTGGTATTAATTATACATCCATTTATTATTGTATTCCCAAAAATAATTTTAAATTTTTTATAGACCTTTACCATTCATAATAGATGATAGTTTATGGTATACTAGCTTTCTGCTCGCAGCTTCGCCAACGTGGATTTCGGTTATATCGCGTTTCAAAGAGAACCTCTCAAAAGTCTGGGATAAAAACTATCCTATGTTCTTTCTCAAGGTCAACTCTATGTCTGTATAAAATTTCATTAAAATCAGTTCAGTGGTGCGTTGGTTTATGCGTGAAAGCGTAACAGAGAGACAGACAGAGTTAGATTCGCATTTATAATATTAATAGGGATTGCTTTGAGTTCAATACAGAATAATGAGTATTATTCTGTCAGACTTAACTATGATATTAACCAACTAAAAGTCTTATTACAGACTATTTCAAAGTATTATATACTTACTTGAGGTGCTATTATCTTCAGAGGGTCCCAACTGATCTAAGGGACCAAGCCATGGCGCGGCTGAAGCGCTAGGACGCATTACACTTAGCAGAAGACAGGATCTTCTAGCACGGGATACCTCACACCAAGCTGATAAAGTTCCCCACCAGTCAACACCCAACTGAACTATTGCTGACATACCTTCAACCTGATGACCAAAACATCAAAGTAAAATTAATAATCATGTGTTATTTTTAAGAAAAATATTTTAAACAAGGACAAATCTAGTCTATATTGAAATAATATGCCTAGGATGTGAGAGAAAATAAAAAATAATGGTCAATCAATTAATAAACAATTATAACCTAGGTAATATAAATTCTAGATTGATTTCACAAGTACCATTTTAGTCATTGAATAAGGCATTTTAATAAGGTTGTATACCTTAAGAGCACCATGTAGTAGAACACAGAAGTTGGGAACTTTGCTCGGGTCGGACATATCATCATCGGTAGAAGTGCCTTCAGAACTGCTACTTTCCTAATAATATTAATATTTTAATTATTAAGTGTTGTGTCATTAATTTGCAGCGTATATAAGTTTATTTCACCTTTGTGGGTGTTTTAGGATCATAGTTTTCACGATGCGGAGCATTACTACCAACTTGAGCTTGTGGTATAACAAGATGCTTGCTTATTGCTATCGGGGTACCTGAAGATGTAAATAAAAGTATTATTTGGCATGACAACAGTAAGCAATAACACAAATGACTTATATATACATGTGAACTGTGAAGTCTATATATAAATGATATTATAACGTACTCTTAAATATATAATAATTTATAAGGTTATTTAGGTCTCAAAATATTATAAATACACACAGTAATACAAAGTATTATGTCCACAGGAACAAATAATAAAAATGATTTACATATACATGTGTTGCCTATATATAACTGATATTATAACTATAAAACATATAATAATTTAAAAGTAATTTTTTTCATCTTAATATATTACTTAAAAATACAGTTCCGGCACTATTAGTTAAATACAAATAAGATGTACATTAATAAAAATATTCAGTTTTAATACCTAAATCTTGTTGTGTTAAGAATCCGATAACATGTAACTGGTTGGACAGGGTGTATGTGGCTCCGAGACAGTCCTGTGAGGCAGGCTGAGGGGCTGGGAACAATTGAACTCTAGTCTCCAACTGCCCACATTTGAGGGTGCACCAGAACTCCTGATAGTGTTGTTCACAAAGACGAGTCATAGCAGCAATTACCTGAAAATTTGTTATTACAAGTCTGTTTACCATCATGAAGAATTTATATCTAATACATTCAGGAGCTGTATTTAAAAGCACTATATTTAATTTAGGTGCTTAGGTAACATATGTATGGGTCATACTAGTATTTGCACTATGATGAATCCTTAAAAGCAGAGTTTTTTATGCTAATACATGTTTTTTTCAACATCTTATGTTAGCAATGTCTTTCACTATTAGAAACTAAGAAATTCGTAGTGGTATTACATAATTCAAAACTACTTAATAAATGTTATAAAACTATTTACATATCTGAAACTTTTAGTAATAGTTCCATTATGTAATTTGAACTCATATTAAATGGTAGAAATAACTTACACCAGGTACATTAAGTTGATCAGGACAATATATTGATCCTCTAGATATCGTTACATTTGTATTATTCACAGAATTGCTTGCCAAGTCAACTATTTTCTGATAAAGTGGCATCGCTGAAATTAAAATCATTTTAATAATTACATACCACATGAATGAGAGATAAATTTATTGTGTATAAAAATTGTATTGAGTATAAATTTAAAATGTTAAATGATGTATCATGAAATATAAATAAGCTATATACTTGCCATGTTGTAATGATGTATCATGAGGGGAAGCAATTGGTAACACATGAATTTTGCCAGGGTATGTCGGGGGAAGTGGCAATGCTTTAATAATCCTATTCCTTCCAATAGAACCCACACCACAGCTACCATCAGTGATCTAATAATAATTTAAGATGACAATATGTAATTTTAATTCAACTTCTAGTTCATTGATTTTTGTAACAGTTTGTCTGGATCTTTATTTGTTGCATATGCTATATAGATGGTTTTAATGCAAGCAGAATAGGCTTTAATCTTAAAAAACTAATGCATTTATCTATTGAATTTATTTCCACTTGCCATTATATAGGTGATACTAAAAAAATATCCAGAAGTATTTAAAAGAAGTATGTTTGGAAGTAAAAACTTATTTATATGAGATTTATTTAATTATTAAGACTATTTAAAAACTTAGTTATACCAGTATTATTTGCACTGCTGTCTGATAACCCCACTCATTCAAAACAAGCTGGTTAACTCCATGAAGAGCAGTTTCTATGCATGTTTTATCACCTTCTTCCAACGTAGGCAATTTAACACGAATATTGTCAAATTCTCGAGTAAATGGAACTGAAACTTTACAATGAAAACTTTTTAGTATACAAGCAACTTTATAAATGATATTTTTTCACTTCTTACCTTCACATAATGATGAAAATGTTACTAACGCTACATATTCCAGTTTAGCATGGACACATAAATAGTCTAAAAATGTGTTTATAGCAGCGGTAGCTAGTGTAAATCGAGTATGAGTCTCAGTAGAATCACTGTTAGGTAAAGGCCTAGACATTGAAAGGGAAACGTCCAATAAAATTACTGTGGGCATATTGCTGGCTTAATAATATTAATTACATTTAAATATAACACTTTGTAAAGTTAAACACAACCATTTATTTACAAAACTGACAGTTGTCAGTACTTCATAGTTTTGACATCATCGCTGTCATTGTACAAATTCACTTAATCAAACTTTTGTTGAAATACCACAACATTTTTTAAAAATTTTGATTGTAACAGTGTTGAATTAATATTTTTTATTTTTTTAATCAAAAAATGACATTTAAAGTTACTATCATACAGTATTTATGGAAAATTATAATTGACTAAGTTACAGTATGTACAACCAAAGAATTATCTTCCTAACTGAAGTAAAACCGGCGCTGTGAAGATATTTGATTATGTACCTATTTGATCAAAGTGTTTAATAAATTCTCTTTTAGTATTTTGAAATTTGATAAAAAAGTTAAATAAAAATTCCTGAACAACAAGTTTTTAAATATCGAAACCCTTCATTTGATTTTCGATATGGCTATTTTTAAACTTTCATAATATTTTATTTTATTTAATAAGGTTTTATTTTATTGAATAATAAGGCTTTAGTCATAAAGTGACTATTCTTAGAAAATTCCACGGCCGCGCATAAACATAAATTAAAAAATATTTAATACTAGCTTTCCGCCCGCAGCTTCGCCCGCGTCGACTTCGGTTATATCGCATTTCCAAGAGAACCTCTCAAAAGTCTGGGATAAAAACTATCCTATGTTCTTTCTCAAGGTCAACTCTATCTCTGTACCAAATTTCATTAAAATCAGTTCAGTGGTTTAGGCATGAAAGCGTAACAGACAGACAGAGTTACTTTCGCATTTATAATATTAGTAGGGATATTTATGTTACAATATTTTCGATCAAAATCAGGCTCAGGAGAAAAGTGTATTGCTTCGATACTTACGATCATGTGTTTAATTTTAAACGTTATTGTTTTGAATAACGACGACGACGACGTTGCTTTAGCTATTAAATGATTAGTGACTTTGCTGAAGGGAAAGTGAGCCCTTAACAAAGTTCTTCATAATCGGAGGCTTTGCAGAGTTATGAGTTTCCTGATACATTAACCCGGAATCCTATGGTTCAGTCTGATTAGTATTTAGAGGCAATCAATGTTATTTTTTATAGAAGTTAAATGTTATTTACAACTCTGATCAAAAAAAGATATTATAGACTATAAAATGTTTTAAGGTTGTGAGTTTAATACACTTTTGGGTTAGACATATGTCAAGAAAAAAACAAAGAAGGAATTGTTTCTAGTTTCTTTCTATCCTAATAGTATTGTTGAAATATTGTTGGTAGTCTCTAAACTGTACCGTAAGATTTATAGTATGTTACGTAACATAACTTTAGTTTATTTAAACTTCTTTGAATAACGGATAATGAAACATATTTTTTACAGCTTTAGAGATGCAATATGAGAAGTACCTCTTAGGTTATTATCAATTAATATAATAGTTTTACAAAATTTTAAAAATTACCAACACGTTTACTACAAAATAATCGAAACGTTTACCTATGGGTAAAATTGTAAATATAATTTTAGTTACATATGAACTACTCTTGTAAGTCCTAGAAATGTTAAAGGACAATTTAAACCACATGTTACTCCTCTAACGCCTTATGGTCCTCATTCCCACCACGGGGGTTTCCAGAGCGAATATCTTCTGAATTATAATACGTTCTTGGAGCTGCACGACGGGCAATCTTAAACATCAAGATTTCTCTAAGAGTTGCAATATTGCATTAGGCTAGAGAGTGCTCTCACTGTAAAACATGAAGAAGACGAAAATTTATCTGTATTTCTCCTAATTTTGTTGTATGTAGTTTAGGGACATTGGTAAAACATACCTAAATATGAATATGGGTCTGTTAGCTTATTCCTTTTAGACTCTTAAATGATAACAATGATACGGTCAAATTAGTGTAGTAGTTACTATGTACATATACAGGGTGACTGGTGAATTACTATCGATATCTGAGGACGTGATATTTGACGATCATATATGACAAAATAAAAATTAATATAACATAAATATTAATAAACTTCTAAGTACAGTTAACCAAAAGTTATGTAATTAATTACGCATCGTATGAACACCCTACAGATTAGGTATACACACACACCACACACACTCACACAGACGCGGCGGCGGCGTAGTGTTGTATCAGCACGCCGCCGCACGCGTCCACACTTGGAACACTTGGAACGTGTCAACACTTTATTTATTTATACGGAAATTTTGTCAAAAATTAAGTACCTATTTTTTTTACATAATTCGAATGAGAATCATGTACCGAGTATGCTCCTTAAATATTGATAGTAATTCACCAGTCACCCTGTATACAAGTACTTCATTAAAATAACGTAAATATGTAAGTACCTATATACTTCGATAATATTCTTCGCGTCTTAAAAAAAAATGTAGAGATATAGTTTTTTTTTGTAATTATATCGAGGGTGGTTTAAACTTTTCATAATAAATTAAAGAATATGATACGTTTATTAGTTGTCTATTTCAAAAATTGATTTTAGTTTCTTGAAAAATTTTGTTACGATACTTGAGATGTCAAAATAAGAGTAAGCGGTATAATATTTTTTATGTTCACCTTACATTGAAATGAACTGGTGTATTGTTATGAAATGTGCTAATTCTTATGGTATTTTTTAGGTTGGAGAATAGAAGGACTTATAACTAAATAAAATAAAAAGTATGCTAATGTTAAGTGTCTTTTATAACCAAAAAAGGTTTACTTAAAATATAGATGAACACCTTGAATTAATTATATTACCAAAAGAAATAAAAAAATCCTCACATCTAGAGAAATATTGAATCTAAATAGTTATTTCCTAATGATAAAATTATATTTTTTGGTTATAGGTATTTAGGTAGTTATATATACTCCTACAAATTTTAATCTTTGAGATATAGAATGGATAAAATATGGATGATTTAAAATGCAAAAAGTACCTTCATTAATTATTAATCATATCAAAATTATTATAAATGTAATATTTTGTACATAATCAAAATGCATGGCCTACTGGATAGTTTGTTTTATATAATCAATAGACGTCAATTCTAGATATAAGATTTTTATAAAAGCCCATTAATGGAAACCAATTTAGAAAATAACAAAATCACTGAAGACATTTCCGACTCGGAAGAATATAGGTTTAGCTATAATTTCATTAACGAGCCATGGGACGATCGTTCAGACAAAAGCAAAATTGGTATCATTACATTGCTTCTCGCTACGTTCCTTGCTGTAATGGCTTTAGTTACAAATAATTTACTTCTACATTATAGAGGATTTGATCCCGAGTCACTTTATAGAAATAATGAAATAGATTGTAATGTTATTAAGGTTGAAGATCATCCTTACGCAGCCCGAATACACTCTGTCACTTCCAATGAACTGATATGTGTAGGAGCTGTGATATCACCTACTTCTATACTTGCGAATGAGCTATGTTTGAAATCAGGACCCATCCGATTGAGACTAGGGAACCCTTTTAAGTGAGTATCGGTTGAAAATAACATTTAATTCCAATTATAATCTTACTTGAATTCTTTTTCAGTCCTCATTGTAAAAAAGGCTTCGGAGTTGACTCAATCGACGTTATTCCACATGAAGGTTTAATAACAAAGTCATTGGTTATTTTAACGACGTTTGAGAGCATGGTACATTGTATAGAGAGTGTTAAAATAGCAAAAAAGTATGATATAAAAAGGCAATTTGTTATAATTGGAAGACATTTTCGTCGGGGGAAGTCTCTGTCGCTGCAACTTGCTACTTACGACCCCACATATATAGTGTCAAAGGAACTCTTTCGCAATATAAATCAAAATAAAACAATATGCGTTCAAAGCATCGGAAAATGTCCAGTGAGGGTCGGTGACCTACTTTTGCAGAGAGGCCAATTATTAGGTCTAGCATCAATGAGCATCCATCAAAGAGAAAAGGCACAAACTGCCTGCTTCGCCAACTTAAGTATCATATATAAAGAAATAAAAATATTAGACCCAACTGTAGAATTTATTTAATTTTTAATTGATTTGTATTAAAAAACTTCTTCATTTTGTACTTTAATATATACGTTCTTGATTTTCATGTTGCACTTTATTTATTAATATTATTATTTAATAATTATTATTATAAGTTATCAGTCCGTTCTTCTGCGGTTATTTGTACGGTATGTTCGTTGGATTATTCTTACAGTTCCAAGATCAACTTCCTCAGGACCCGATAATCCTTTCCAGTTGTTTAAAATAAAATAAAGTCCCAGAGCAATAATGAAAACGACTAACGTGAATGTCACAAGACTGTTGTCTTTAATTGAAATTTGTCTCAAACTCTGCGTGTCGAAAGACCATACTGGTAGTGAATTCATGCTCGTTGATTGAGCTGTAAAAAAAATAATTAAAACACTAGTTTATTGACTTTTTATTGAAAGTAGAATATAAATTCTGTTTTTTATTTGGTAACGACGTAATAATAACCCATCAAGCTCTTGTCACTTGAATGATTGGATGTCAGGTCAGGATGCGTTGGTTTTTTCCACGGACAAGTCTTTCTCTGAAACCTTCATCCGATTTGGCATTTACAATTAATATGTAAATCGATCATGTCACTATGTTTTTCAGGTCACATGTTAATGGAAACTTGCGTTGAAATTAATTACTTTATACGAGATGATATTTTAAATATATTTTTCTGTTTCTTTTAATATTCCCAAGCCATTTGAATTAGAGGTGAAACTTTTATAAACCGTGAAGACAAACCTTTCTGAAAACTAACAATTTCAAAGTAACATTAAACACGTTTGGAGGAAGCTTTTCTGTTTTACTTTAGATTGATTTTATTATGAGTTAATGCGTTTATTTTGTCAATTTAAAATTATAGTTGACATTGACTGATGACGATGTAAACACGTCAAATAAATTTTGTTATAAAGGCTGAAAGTTTTTATTGGGGACAAATAATGTGTGAATAGTTGAAGTGTGAATAAATTCTCATTTCTTTATATACCAATATATTTCTTTAGACTCGTTTGATTTTGATTTAAATAATATTTAATATATACCTTGGCCAATTTGTTTTTACTTCAAATGATGTGATTAAACAATAGAAAACATGTCTGGTTAGAAAAGGTTTTAAATAGCGTCCAAAAAAATATTTAATAACCCCGACACTCAAAAAAAGCTTCGGAGGCATTACGAAGAGAATATTGATCTGAGATTGATAAAGCTTACAATTACATTTTAATTACGTCAATATGTATTTTTGTTTCATATTTATTTTTCTCTTAATACAAAGTATTTAAGATCTCCTTGACCCGTTTCTTCTTACTTCGGAGAGAGTTTAAACATAAATATTGTATAAAAATAAATTCATTTCTGATGTATTTATACATATAATTATTACAGTAGGAGTTGTTATTTAGAAACATATTTAATAAAATGAAATTGTAAATGTATCTATGTACACTCTATAGATATTTCAATATTTGTTCGTGCCAAAATCGTTTTAGGTAATTGTAAAAAGTCTTACGATTACAACTAAAATTATAAATATGTATCAACGAATTGCTCGCAGAGTAAAAGATGTCAAAATTTGTAAAAATGGAAAAATTCCATTTGATCAAATCATAAACAGAATCAATTCTATAGTGACATTGATATTAAGAGCAAATGATCTTCAATAAAAATATTAATAGCTTCATAAAAAACAAAAGAATACATGAAATATTAAGGGCGCATATATTATAATTTCTTAGTTGATTGCTTCATTTGATATTCAGTTTTATGTATGAGGATAATTACAGTAAATTTTTACTAAAGATTTTAGAAATAGTCATGCAAAATGATCTTTTTTTTTTGCTAAATTCTTGAGGTATCTTTGCTTCTTAAAACCTAAGACACTATTTCGGATCCTTGTTCTGTTTATTTGTCAGTAAATAACGAATACATCGGCAATAATTCACGAATAAAAAAATATATAATAACAATACAAAAAATGAAAAAAAATTAAGTTAGTACAAAAATATACGCTGTACGTATTTTCAGGAACTGCCCCAGGATATTACAGTATGAAGTATTTCAGAGAATCATTAATTTTGACATCAAAGGCACTATTTACTTTCGAAAAATGAAAAAATGGGCGAATTCTATAGTTTTTTATGAACTCCGTCCGTTCGTCAGCATTTAATTAAATTAATTTTGTTGTTACCGATTACTATCTTTGTTTCAGAAATATCCTAAAGACAAATTAGAACAGAAATAAATTGACTCCTTTTCAAATATTCCAGCTTACACTTGTTAGTGTTTTTTTTTTTTAAATTATGTTGCTTAAAACTTTTAAGATAAGGAAATAAGATTTTAAGCTATTTTATAACTATAAGTCATTTGAAAAGAGTATTCTACCTCAAATATTAATTACAAAAAAATAAAAATAAAAATGATTTCTTAGTAACTTTACTTAGTTACATTTGTATATATGGTAGAGCAAAACGGTTGATTTATGTTTGAAAATATATTTTAATGAAAATAGAATACTAATGAGTTTTAGGGCGAACTGTCGAAAAATTCTGTACCATGAATTTGACTTTGAAACTGAACACACTGTTTCCAGTTATTAATTACTATATTCTCTCAAATTCTATAAATAACTATATATGAAAGCAGGAAAATATGTGTTTGGTTTCACTGTGCCATCTGGTGGTAGGGCAAGGTACTGTTATTCATCATTTGTTTTAAAAAATACATTTTTTTGGGTTTTTTGTATGTAGACAATATTTATTTTCATGATAATTATTTTTTAAATTATATTATACACCTAAGTCTGTTTTTACACGGTCTTTTTGTACACGGTTTTGATATAACACGGTTTGAAAATTGAATATTTTTAATTTTTTTACACGATTTTATTCCATTTAGCACGATTTGGAATTTTATGTACTTAATTTTTTTTGTCAAATTTAATTTTTGCGAAGTATGTTCATATCACAAAAAAGTATTTATGAAAGAAAAAAGTCTGAAACCATCGATAGTATCGATAGTTTGCGAACACTATTCCCCTTTACCTATTCTTTTCGTTCACAACATAGTTTTTTAGTTCCTGAACTTGCCATACATTTAATTTATATTACTTTTAAGATTAGAGTGCATATCTTTTTTATCATTAATTACTATGCTTGTGAAAATGAGCATTATATATTTGATTTAATAAAATAAACATGAATTCTTGTTCTTAAAAATTCTTGTTTTTCACTAATTTTAATAGGTTTTAGAGATTTAGAATTAGAGAACACATCACCCATTTTTGTATAAGATCAATGTTTTTTTACACGGTTTTTTTTTACACGGCTTCTTCTGGAACCAATCTACCGTGTAAAAACAAACTTAGGTGTATTTGGTGTAAAATGATAATTAAACGATATCATTATTACTAAATCATTGTAATAATTATATTAATTGTGTTGAGTGGACATATAATAAAGATAAGTACATTTAAATTTAAAGAACATTTTTATTTCCCAGTAACTATCTTCTAGTTCTGTAAATATATTGTGTATATTATGGGGATAAATTAACAATCTATTTATTTTATTTATTAGTATATTGTTTATTATATTAATGTACATTTATGCGAGAGGATCTGAGTGAAACTGCTTGTATTCATTCATTCTATTAACATCAAGTGTCACTTTAAAATCATGTTGGTAAAGGATTTAATTAGATTGTCAAATTACCTTGACATTAGTACTACAATTGTATACAGCTGATAGTAATTATATTATATTAATTAACATAAGATATAATTATTATAGTTGTTGTCAAACATACTATGTCTTTATTATTAAATACATCAAGTAAATAAAAGGTTTTCTTTATGAATATCGACTTGATGAAGTTATTTACAAAGTGATGAAAGCCCTTTAAAAACTTTCGCTGGATCGAAGATATCTGTCTTTATTTATTATTTATACCTGCTAAGTTATTTTTAATAAGACAAAGCCGAATATAATTATCTGTTAAAAAATGTCAGTTAGTAATTTTTATTATATTATAAGCGTGACAATAGATATTTTGTTTTATAAGTCATTTGGAATTTATAATTTAGTATAACAATATACATATATGTTTTGCAGTCAATTATTATTTTCACATATCTATTTCAATTGAATTTAATTATGAATTAGACAGATTTATACACACCTAAGAGTTCGTTAGAAACACAAAAATACTCGTAGAGACGCTTCTTTTTAATGATGTGTGGAAAATAAAGAAAATTAGTAATGCTATCTAGTAATTTGTAAGCACTGTTATCTTGTACTGAGTGTGTGTGTGTGATTTTGTATTATTATATAGTTAATTTTGTGTATTATTTATTATACACAAGTAGTTCTCATGTAGTTCAATGACTTGTACGAGTTGATTCAATACAATCTGCATTCTCACACGTTTTCGCGGAACCTTTGGAGTTTAGACCTTGAGAGTTCAATGTCGATTTTCGTAAACTGTCAATCGATATTCACGTTGTCGCAAAATAAAGTTACCTCTTCATTTACGGTTTATGTAATATTATTACTAGCATATAATTTAATTAGGTCTTGTTTTGTTGGTACACTGCTTTGTTGATAAAAATAATACATAAATATAGAACGAATTCCTACTTTCTAATCTTTTAAATTGACACAAAAAGTATAGATGTAAAAGTAGAAATAAATTCAAACATACTCCATACGACTTCGTGACTTTACATTTTGCCAGACGATTTTAATGTATCGTATCTCATTTGGGCGTGGAATTGAATTTCTAAACAAATATCTGATAAATAAACTTTGAGCTGGAAACGTTGAGTTTCAACTTTTTATTTCATTATAAATGGTATAATTTTTTTTAAATATATGTCATAAGGATATAATGTATGAAAATATATTGATTTCTTTATTAAAACTACTCGTAAAGTAGAAGGGGAAATATGAATATCCAATCCCGAGGGAACCAAAAAGTTGGAATGATGTTTTGCCAATACAATAAAC